GAGAGGGAGAGGGAGAGGGAGAGGGAGAGGGAGAGGGCCTCAGCCCAACATGTCTGCCTTTTATAGCCCAAAAGCCCCAAAATGGCCGCTTAGCTCCGCCCTTGGGTCCTAGCTGTCCTCCCTTGGGTGTTGCTGGGAGTTGTAGTTTCAGTGTCTGGAGTAGGAGGTGGAGTCCACAAAACCTGTATTTGTAGAGTTTGTTCAGGACATCCTTTCCCCCTAACAAAGGGAGCATTGATTGTACTGATCTTAGTTTCCCACAGGGGGCAGTTCTCTTAAAAATCAGCACTTTCTTCCCCAACTTACACTAAGTCCAGCTGTATGTGTGGGGTCACATGGGCTGCTCCCAGGCATAATGGTCCTCTAGACAAACTCACAAAATTCAGTGTAGAGTTGTATCGACAGTGATGATTTACTGTGACTTATTAAAGCAAGATCAGCAAAGGCAGTGGTTAGATGGAGCAAAGTCTAGAGAAAATAAGGGAGAAGCATGTCCTTCCCATGGGTTTACATGCACAGACCTTTCTCTTCCCCAGCCACAGTGCATGACAGCTCATGTGAAATGGTGTTTGTACCAGGGAGGATCAGTGGAGACTTGGTGCTGAGAGTTTCACTGGGTTTGTTCATGCAGTAAATGCCAAATGTCTCCTTGGCATTTACTAAATTCCAGACTCTCTGAAAGAACCATGGTGGTCAGCATGAACCATTCTGAAAATAAGAAATAAGAAAACAGGCCACCTTAGGATTGCTGTCCTGGGCCTGCTGTGTGTTTGCCCTTCTGCACATTGGCTCACCCTGGATAGGAGAATCCAATTTTTGCAAGTATTTAGTGTAATTTGAATATGTAAACTTTTAGGAGCTTATAATCTACCTATACCTATTTAAAATCATATATATGATATAGATTAATACGAGAAACAGTTACTTCGTCTCCTGCTCTTGCATTGGATGAAACACATTGGAACATCTTGAGCACTTCCACATCACTGCAAGTCATGTCAGGAGCACTCTTAACCATTCATTATGGTCTTGCCTTCTCCCCCCGCCAGGGGCTTACGATACAGCACTTGAGGCCTCTGTGTCTAAAAACTTCAACCTGGGCCTGGCCATTTTACTCTGACCCACCAGTTTCACTAGGGGAGCGGACAGTTGCCTTTTTATTCATCCTCCAAGTAGACATACATAGTGTCCACATCATAACACCTGTGCTATTGCTTAAGTGATCTTGACACAGAGTGCACATCTGTACCAACAACACTTAGAAATTCCTCATATCTGGGGAAATGTCTGTGCCTTCTTTCTAGAGTAAATGTTGCCGTCAAACTTTCTCAGTAAGCACCACCCCAACTCAGTAGTGTTCAAATGCAAACTCAGGCATCTTCCCCGAACAGTAATTTCTGTCAAAGCAAAAGCCGTCGAAAAAGTGCGTGGCCATGTGAGAATGGCTGCAGGTTTGAAGAGAAGACACTGCTTTCTTCTGAAAGATAATTTTGGAAACAAAAACTCACTTTATATGTGGTTTGTAAGTCAGTGAACCATAGATGTCAGATGAACTATCAGAGCACTGTTTTTCTATTAAGTGTATTGTTTTACTGACTCAATTGTGGGGAGGAGATGTGGTGAGGCCAGAGGCACTGGGCTAAAAGAATTCACCAGAGACAGAGTAGAGAACAGAAAGGAGGTAGTTATTGACATATACTTCTAGAGAAGCAGTGGGCAAGACAGGAGTTGTTTACCCCCAAAGAAGGATTTGGGGAACCCTCTTCTAATCTGTTTTCATGATGAGAGAGTGGGTTTGGGCCAGTTTGTGCTGGGATGTCTGGTCTTGGGTGTGGACCTTTAACCCAGAACGTGTCATGTACTGAGGGTCAAGGTGTGATCAGCCTTCTGGCTTGATTTCCATAGCAATCCTATCAATTCTCTTAACCTTCCTGCTAGGGAAGATGTGGAGCTTATATTTTAGCCTCATTAAATGATACCCCAACACCCTGAAGTGTTGAGAAGGTCATTAGTATCTATGAAATGCAGGGAAATCCAGTTTTCAGAATACACTTAAATGTGCCATGTCTTCTAGATCTTCGTTCTTCTCATCCTGCTCTCTGCTGGTCTTGCCATTGGCCATGCTTACTGGGAAGCTCAAGTTGGCAATTACTCTTGGTACCTCTATGATGGAGAAGATGCTACACCTTCCTATCGTGGATTCCTAAATTTCTGGGGCTATATTATTGTTATGAACACCATGGTGCCCATCTCTCTCTATGTCAGGTAAGGCTGTCTTCTAGCGATTTGCTTTAAGGGGAGAACAAGCATTTTGCTTTAGGGGAAGAACACAGGCCGTTATCAGAACACAGGCCGTTATCAACATTTTCAACTTTGCACCTTCATTTCTAGTGACCATTGTGTCATAAGGCACAAGTTAAATAGTCACTTTCACTGAAGAATTGGGGGTCAGAGAGGGAAAGAAAATTAGCATTAAAGTGCTTGCCCTGAGCCAGGTGCAGAACCTTGTACCTCTACCTTGAGATAAGCCTGGTGTCCAGAGATCAAATGTGTTCAGAGATCAAATGTCAGTCCTCTCTCTCTCCTCACTTGATGGGTGTCCTCAGTGGCTCCAGGCCAAGCTTCAGAAGTAGCCTGGGGGAAGACTTAAAAAAATGTCATTTGCTTCACAGGAGACTTCTAGAGCTTTAATCTGCCTCTTCTTTATTAACACCTGCTACAACTATGGATGCTAAAATTCCCTGAGTTTCCAAGCCAGGGACCCTAAGGGGAATACCACCCTCCCTCCCAACCTCCCAAAATGTTTCTATCTGGTTCCATCTCAGTGGTCATATCCAGGGACATTGTCTTGTGAGGTGATGTTTCTTCCTATTGTATGACTTCTTTAGTATCAAAGTGCACTGTCACTGGTTAATTGAGCTTTAGACCTTTAAGAAAAGGGCTGTGCCTTGAAATATACTCAGCAGCTGGCTTCTGCTCTTAGTTCTAGTAAGTGGTTGCTCAAAGGCTGACAGGATCACATGCACACCTGTGATTAGGAGCATTTGTTTTATTTTAATTTTATTACTGTGTGTTTATTTCATTTTAATTTTATTACATATGCATTTGTTTCATTTTTAATTTTATTACACATTGTAACTGTTCTTTTAACATGAAGAAAAGCCTGTATGAGTTGTCTGTTCAAAGTTTTTTTTTTTTTTAACTGAGCTGAGTTTTCTTTTGTCCAGGACACTGTTACACAGATTATTTTATTTAAAAAATTATTTATTTATGCATATAAGAACTGAAGTATAGGCCAGAGATGGTGGGGGTTAAGAGGATTCACCAAAGACAGAGCAGGGAGCAGAACAGGCACATGCATTGAAACACAATGCTGAGGGGAGCAGCAGGTGAGACAGGAGGGGTCTGCTGCGCCATGTGAGTCAGCTCCCTGGCCCGGAATTGAATTCATGCTACACTGGCTGTGGACAGCTTCCTAGTGCTGAGTTTTACCCCCTCGCGCCACCACGGAGGGCCATACAGATGATTTTATCTATAACTATACACATTTTTAAACATACATTGGTTTTAAAAGGCCATTTGTTGGTGAATCCTCTCACCCCTTGCACCTGTGGCCTGTAACCCTGTTCCTTTATGCATAAGTAAATAAATCTTTGGTTAAAAAAAAAAAAAAAGTCAGATGAGATCATTCCAGAAAGTATCTGCTTTGTTTTCCACTCTAGAGCAGCTTTCCATCTCATTTCCAGAACCTGTGGCCTGTAACCCTGTTCCTTTATGCATAAGTAAATAAATCTTTGGTAAAAAAAAAAAAAAAGTCAGATGAGATCATTCCAGAAAGTATCTGCTTTGTTTTCCACTCTAGAGCAGCTTTCCATCTCATTTCCAGAATAAACTCTTGCAGCCACACTGGCCCCTCACCAGTGTGGCTGGGGCTCTGCCCTCTGCCCTTCACCTTCACCTGCTCGCGGCCTCCCTGGACCTTCACCTCTCCAGCCTCTGTGACATGCCTGTGCCACAGGGCCTTTGTACCAGCTCTTATCTCATCTGGAACAATTTTGCCCTCAGTTTCAATGGGTGCAGTTTTGTTTCCTTCAGCTCCAGCAGTATCTTATCAGTGTGACCTCTCCAGCCCCACTCCCAATCCCTTGGTTTCTCCTTTGTTTTTCAGCAGAGAATTTTTACCACCCAGTGTAAGATGTACTTACTTATCTGTTTGTCTTTGAAGGTAACCTTGAGGGCAAGGCCTCTCTGCTTTGTGGACCAATGTGTCCCTGTACCCGGGATGGTGTCCGGACATAGTAGGCACGCAGGAAATATTGGTTATGACAGGGAGGGAAGGAGTTGTTTTTCCATCTGTTTCGCTTGTTATAAAGATACATTTGTCCATTTAACAGTTGCTGAACAGGGAGATAGCTTCCTTGTAGTTGAGCTAGATTTCATCCCTAAAGTTTCATAATGGAAGTGACCCTTCAGATATCTAATTTAAACATTTTAAGAATGAGAGGGAAGAAATTGTTTTCCCAGAGCTGCAATTTGGGGGTTATCTGTGAAAAGCCCTTTGCCCTGCTTGAGAGCACTCGGGGGTCTGTAACCTAGTGGATCTGCTTTGACCCCCAGTAGGGGGCAAAGGTGAACACAGCCTTTGCAGTTGGCCCTGGGGCAGCCGGGGATGACCAAGGACAGTAGGCACATCCTGCGGTGCAGTCAGCAGGGGCCCTGGCACCTGTCCCTTGTCCCCTGGCATCTGTCCATTGGGCTATGTGTTATGAACCTGGGTTTTGTGGCCAGATGTACACCAGAGAAAGTGAGAAATCACACTGTGCAAGATACTTGGAGGGAAACCGCTAGTCTAAAATTGGCTTAACCCAAGTGAGATTTCCGGCAGGAGAACCAGAGCCGGGTCCGCGGGCGCCGGGCATAGCCTTCCTCTGCAAATAAGTGCAGGTCATGAGAATAAAATCCATTGCCCGCGTGTATCTGAGGACTCTAGGAAAGTGGCCTATTTTTCTTGTAGCGTGGAAGTGATTCGTCTCGGACAGAGCTACTTCATCAACTGGGACCTGCAGATGTACTGCCCTGAGAAGGACACGCCCGCCAAGGCGAGGACCACCACGCTGAACGAGCAGCTCGGCCAGATCCACTACATCTTCTCTGACAAGACGGGCACCCTCACACAGAATGTCATGACCTTTAAAAAGTGCTGCATCAACGGGCAGATCTACGGTGAGTGGAAGCCCTTTGGTCCCTCGCATTGTGACCAGGGCTTGCCTGTCCGTGCCAACGCCCTCTCAATGCCGTTCCTAGGCTGAGGACGGGAGCAGGTTGCTAGTGGGGGTGGGTGCACATGTGCATGGGGGGTGGTCAGCAGTCTGAAATTGCTGCCCATTCCTCAAAAATTTAAACATAAAATTACCAGGTGATCCAGGAGTTCCCATCTACGTTTATTTTTTATTTATTTATTTTTAAAAGATTAATTTATGCATACAGAACTGGGGTATAGGCCAGAGATGCGGAGGGTGAGAGGATTCACCAAGGACAGAGTGGGGAGCAGAACAGGTAGATCTATGAAGTACACGGCTGAGGGGAGCAGCGGGCGGGTCAGGAGAGGTCTGCCACGCCATGTGGTCACCTCCAGGGCAGGCGGGAATCGAACTCATGCGGAAGTGGCTTTAGCTTCTCAGTGCTGTTCTTTAACCCACGGCGCCACCAGGGAGGGCCCCATCTACGTTTATACCCAAAAGAATCCAAAGCAGGAACTCGGAGAGACATTTGCACATACATATTTCAGTAGCATTATTCAGAATAGCTAAAACTTGGAAGGCAGCCACTGCCCACTGCCCACTGCCCACTGCTAACTGCCCAGTGACTGAAGAGGGAACACGTGGTGCATTCATAGGCTGGAATATTACTTAGCCTTTAAAAGGAAGGACATACGGGCTCATGTTGCACCATGGATGGACCTTGGGAATATTATGCTAATGAAATAAGTGACTGACAAAAGGACAAATACAGGGTTCGACTTAGACGAGGTACCTAGAACAGTTGAATTCACAGAGATGGGAAGTAGCGTGATGGCTCTGGGGCTGGTGGGGAGGGAGGAGGGGAGTTTACTGTTCCACGAGTAGAGTTTCAATGTGACCAGTGGAAAGAGCTCCAGAGATGGATGCGGGTGATGGTTCCACAGGGGGGAATCAACTTTTACTGCCTTTTAATTTTGTAGACTTTAAAAATGGTTAAGATGGTCAGTTTTCAGTAACATGTATTTCCCCGTGATTATAATTGTAAACTTGGTGTCCATTCTAATATTCTGAAGTGTACTGTATTCTTATAAAAATATTAAGGTCATAACTATATTCAGAGTGCTCTGACTTTTCAATAAAGACTTATTACAATATTTTCAAAAAGCCGCAGGGACATGATGTGCATTTTACTTGGAGAAAACTGTAGCGTGAATGTTTTCATGTGGTGAGCATTCACGGAGAGAGAGGAGCACTTATGGGTGTGGGGAGGGTCTCATGGACAAGGCTGTCCCTGTGGAGCTGAGGGAGGTAGCCCACTTCAAGGGTGTGGTTTTGGTTCAGAGGAGACTGTGGCATAGAAATACACAGGCACCAGAACTTGAATATTGAGACCAGGAGTCTGCACGTTGTTTTTGTTTTGTTTTTTTGTTTTGTTTTTTGATAAAAAGCCACATAGGAAATACTTTAACCATTATCACTTACAGCCATCAAGTAGTCTCCTTTGTATGTTTAACACCTTTTGAAATATGTAAAAACCATTCCTTTATGCTGTTTAGAGGTGTGCTATAAGACCACTAGAACTAGCCCCCGCCCACACAGAGTCCCAAAGCCAAGTGAGGTGGACTCTGGACTCAGGTGGAAGCTCAATTAATTTTGTCCTGTCTGTTTCTCAGGAGACCCTCGGGATTCCTCTCAACACAATCATAGCAAGATCGAGGTGAGTCCACTAAATTAAGGCATTATTTAGAGTGTGGATTAGTTTCCGAACTCCAAAAAGTGGGTAGCTTAAAAGAACAGAAATTTATTCTACATTTCTGAAGATGAGATGTCTGGAATTAAGGTTTTGTAAAGCCAGGCTCTCTCGAATGTTCCAGGGCACAGTCTTCCTAAACTCTGGTGGTTGCCTGTATCCTTGGTTTATAAATGCAACACTCAGATGTCTGCCTCTGTCATCACCAGATTGTCTTTTATAGGTCTGTGTCCAAATTTCCTTTCTTTTATAAAGATACCAGTCATTGGAGGAGAGCTCACTCTAATACAGTATGCTCTCATCTTGACTACATCTGCCAAGACCCAATTTTCAAATAAGGTCATAGATGCACATTGCAGGGGTTTGGAATTCAACCTAACCTTTTGGAGTACACAATTCAACCACAACAGAGAGACTTTTGTTTTAAAGCAGGTGTGAAACTCTTGCCGCTTGACATTGTTATTTCGTATAAAGGATGTATCTCAATGAAAAGTTTCTATCATTTGTTGTTAAGTTCAAGTTTGTTTGTTTGTTTGTTTGTTTGTTTTCCCCATCACATTTACTTTTCCTTCTCCACATCTTTCAGCAAGTTGATTTTAGCTGGAATACATTTGCTGATGGGAAGCTTGCGTTTTATGACCATTACCTTGTTGAGCAAATCCAGACAGGGAAAGAGCCTGAAATCCGACAATTCTTCTTCTTGCTTGCAATCTGCCACACAGTCATGGTGGAAAGAATTGATGGTGAGTGTTTTTCTCTTGCATCTTGGACACTAGCAAATCAGATTTGTAGTGTACAGGTAATTCATGCTTGGTACACCAAAGCACATAAAGTAATATGCATGGCCAACTTATCTCACTTTCACTCAAGCAATTAGTGTGTGTTATTATCTTTCCGTAAATGGTATATTGGTTTGCAAATATGAATCAGTTCCTGGCGTCTGAAAATGGACATTTATTCACATATATGCTTTCAGATATGTTTATTACTTTGTAAGAAAAGCCTAACACTGGTAGAAATGGTTGTTTTTTGAATTATCATAGTAGGAGAATAAAAATCTTCCCACTGCTTGATTTCATTTCATTTAATTGATGATCTTTCCTGAAAAAATAAATTCAGAGATAAAACTTTTATTTTCTAGATTCAGATGTGTTTTGGGCTTGAAATAATAACTTGAAAGTCTAGGCTTCCTTTAAAGCTATTTTGTCATTGGAAGGACAATAATTCTGGGCCTTTACCTAGAAATAAACCAAAATGACTTGTACTTTTCTGTGTACAACTCTTAACTGTGTATTGTGCCAGCTTTGTTATAAGCTTATTCAGTCTCCTTGAAAGCGGCTCTGTTTATTACATAGGAATATAATAAGCAAGTGTATTGGTGGAAGAGAAAAAGGAGCCCTTTGGGCCTGAAACACTGCCCATTCTCTACTCAGTCAGCACCACAGGAAGGCCCCTCTTTGTTTCCAGCCCTCAGGTTTCATAGGTAGCAATTGTGAACCCCCAGGGGAGGAATGTGCCCACAAACTAAGGGGCAGAAACTGTATGTGGTATCTTACATCAAGTTTCAGAGTAAGAGTCTCTCTTCTGAATCAGTTAGTGTAATCAACAAGATAACAGCAGACTTCACATTAGGGTGGATGTATGGATAGGCTGTTTGTTGGCAGGCAAAATGGGGAAAGCTGGAAAGAGATGACACCAGATGTGAGTAACCGAAGTAACTGAAGTCTGAGTAGCCAAGCATGTTACTTGTTTAATAGCAAGGATCGAGGATGATCCTTAGCCCGCTTAGATTTTGATGCATAAGTAAAATTACTTTGAGTATGTGGAAGCATTATTTTGCCAACTTGTAGCTCAATGTTGTGCAAAAAGTTGGACATCCCAAGGAATTGTCCACACAATGTACGTGTCAGGCCATCGCGCTGGCACTGAGAACGAGGAGAAGCTGGGTTTGTAGGAGCAGGACGTTCTGAGAAAAATTGGTTTTGGCTTAATCATAAAATACATTGAAAGGGTTCTTTGGAGGGACCACTCCTCAAAATCCTATAGATAAATTCAGACCCCGAAACAGAAGGATCCTGCCTGAGCTTAGGATGCAGGTAAAACTCATTTTGGCTGATCCTTCTACTCTCATGCTTTGCTCTTGCAATCTGTAGTGTCTCCTTTATTAGAATGATTGCAATGGGTTAGTCCCTTACTAAACACCAACAGCCCACCCACGTAGGACTCAAGCAGCACGTGGTCAGCGCGACCCACGGTGGAGTTCGTGGCATGGTCCGTGGGGCTAAGTGTGGAGAGGCTGTATTGTTTGCTCTTATTAATGCTCACAACTCAGTGACATTCAACGCCCATTCAGAAGCTCACAGTCCTTGAGGTCACAAGTCTGGGCACAGTAGGACCAAGGTCTCTGCAAAGGATCTTCCTCAAGTCAGGGTCAAGCCTTGTTCTTACTAGAACTCACGATCCTTTTCCAGACCCCTCCAAATCCATGTTCTAGTGGAAGTGAAGGCGTCAGTTTTCTGTAGTTCAAGGACTGAAGACTCTGTTGCCTGCTGAGAGCTCTCCACTGCTAGAGGCTCCCTCCCGGGTTCCCTCTAACTTAAATACCAGCAGTGAAGAAACTCCTTCCCGGGAACCCATTTCATGCTCTGAATCTCTCTCCCAAAGGAGAAGCCCTTCCTTTCAATTAGTTTTTTAATTAGTTTGGGAAGAGCAGGTTAATGATAATCTCCCTATCTTAAATCAACTGACTTGGACCTTAATTACACCTGCCCAATCCCTTTCCTGGGGATGTCTCTAGATTACTCTAGATTAATAACTGGGGGAAGGCACGTGTCTACCCGTGGGATGGGAACCTTGGTGCCATCTGTGACCTCCCAGAGGCCACGGGAGAGCAGCCTTTGCAAGGCTTGGAGGCCTTTCCTTCCTCTGAAGGTCTCTGAGTTGGGAATCACCATGGTTGCAGGCTGTGTTTAGAGCAGGAAGGCCTAAAGGATTGGGCTGGAAGCCCAGGACCTAGACCAGGGGTTGGGAGATCTTCAGGAAAAGGGAGAAAGCCATGAGTGCAGGAGGTAGTGTCAAAGTGATCTGAAGCAGGGTTGATAAAGTGGAGGGAACAGGACTGTCTCCAGGGTAACCCCTTTCCAGCTGGGGACTGGGAGACTGAGTAAGCTGGTGCCATCGTGGACTTGCATCCGAGTCAGGAGAGATGGGCTCTCCTGATATTTATATCAGTTTCACAATCCACAGATTAGCCTGCAGAAGTAAAGAAAGTCTCTGGCTGCATCCAGGTGTGTGGTAAATAGCTTCCTTCAGCAGTGGCTTGAGAGAACTGTTTTTCTGTTGTTGTTTGTTTGTTTTTAAGATTTGTGTGCATACAGAACTGGGGTACAGGCCAGAGGTGCAGGGGCAGTGAGAGGATTCACCAGAGACAGAGTAGGGAGCCAAACAGGCAGATTGACAAAGTACACTGCTGAGAGGAGCAGCGGGCAGGTCAGGGGAGGTCTGTTGTGCCATGTGGGTCACCTCCGGGGCAGGCAAGGATCGAACTCATGCTGAGGTGGCTTTAGCTTCTTAGTGCTGTGCTCTAACCCGCTCCACCACTGGGGAGGGCCCTAAAAGGACTGTTTTTTAGTCCTCCCTGCACACCTAAAGCTGGCATTTGGTTCAAGTCTCTGAAGTTTCCTCCTACCTTTATTAACCTGTAGTCCTGTGATTCCATTATGAGAACGAAATAGATTTTCTTTTAATGATTAAAAATATCAACATGTTTGCCTCAGATAGGATTGTCTTACTTGTGGGAACTTTACCACCTTTTATCACTTTCCATTTTGATGTTGGAAATGTTTGCCAATATGATGCAATGTTTATCACATGCCAGCTAACCTGGCCAAACGGAGAAGCTTGTGCCTGCACTGCTGCTTTCCTTAGCATTCGTGTGTGTGCGTGTGTGGCTGGTCAATACTTTTGTCGCTTCCAGCATCTGACTTTCTCAGTGAACAAATACAGAGAAAGAGAACTTTCTGGGGCGTCGCTAATTCTGAGTGAGAGTAACCCATCTGATCAGTGTGTGAAGCCAGGGGCGGTCTGCTCCACCTCCAGCCATCAGCACCCCCGTCCAGGTAGCCAGACAGCACAAAGGCTGACCATCCATGCAGGGCACATCCTGATTAAACCACAGACCATGGTGGAAGCGAATATCCATGAAAGCTCATTGGATGGTGGGAATACTTTTCCTTCTACATTCAACAGAACGACTAGAATCAAATAGGAAGCTTTGAACAGTCAGAATTTTGTTTTCATTGAAATATCATTGCATTACAACAGGTATAGTGCATCCTTAAGAATTAGCATGTGCATGTACTGCCGTAAATTCACCACTAAACGTGCAATTCTGTCCTTTGCCGACTGGGGTTCCCTTAGTTGCAATGTACACACTCCCCCTTCCCTTCTGGTAAAGGCTGATTAGCATCATCGTGTAAAAGTTTACTTCTGTTTCATTTATTTCAGCGCTTGGTTTCTCTACATACTGCTTACCAGTGAAATCATAGGGTGCTGTCTTCTCCGTCAGGTTTATTTTATCAGGGATAATCCCCTCTATTTTCACCTTGTAAATGGCAGGATTTTACCTTCTTTAACAACCGATCGTGTTCCATCGTGTATCTCTACCGCGTTTTTATCCACCATCAGTTGAGGGGAACTTAGGCTGTTTCCAGTTCTTGGCATGTACAGACCCATGAGTTTTCATAATTCATGACTTGTCATGATTTTAAAAAGCAGAATCTCATCAAGCCCCTAAGAGGTCCCTTTGTGCCCCCCCAGAGTCACTCTGGTCCTGCCTTCAGGTGGGCCAGCCTGGACGGTGCAGCCCGCGCAGGGGCATCAGCTCATGTGTTCCTGTGTGTGTGGCTTGGCCGAACCCAGTGTGATTTCTGCCTGTTGTTGAAGCACACTAGTGACTAGAAGGCATCTTGAACTTTTAAATCAGGCTAATGAGCAGATGGATGCATTTGGAGAAAGATTTAAAAGGATATATATTTAGTGTGATTGAAACTTTTTCAGGAATAGGTATTTTAGGGCCCTCCATGGTGGCACAACAGGTTAAAGCACTGCACTATGAAGCTATCTGCAGTCACTGCAGCACGAGTTCAGTCCCCGGGGAAGGAGTTGACCCACATGGGGCAGCAGACACCTCATCACCCAGAACACTACTATTGACATTGTGTTATAGTTGTTTCTAATCCTCATTAAAATACCTATTTTTTATTTATGCATACAAGAACTGGGGTACAGGCCAGAAGCTGAGGATTAGAGGATTCACCAGAGAAAGCGTAGGGATCAGAACAGGCGGATCTACTGAAGTCCACTGCTGAGGGGAGCAGTGGGTGAGACAGGACAGGTGTCTGCTGCCCCATGTGGGTCAACTCCTTGCCCGGGGACTGAACTCTTGCTGCAGTGACTGCAGATAGCTTCATAGTGCAGTGCTTTAACCTGTTGTGCCACCGAGGATTAGAAACAACTATAACACAATGTCAATAGTAGTGTTCTGGGTGATGAGGTCATGGATAGAATCCATCCCCTACCCCCATTCTTGGTCAGTGTTGTTTAAACTTCTAGCTTATAGAACTGCTTATAATGCGAAATAAAACTCTCAAGTTTAAAAAGTGTTAATGCCCGGCAGATCCCTTAAGCATCGGTTCCCTGTTTTCTTGGGGATGTCTGACTCTGGAGATGTCCTCACACCCACGTGGACCTCGATAATGAAGCTTTGATGCCGAGCTCTGTGTTTTACAGCCTTTCTGGTGTTCTCTCCGCCTTTGTTAGGTCAAATCAACTACCAAGCGGCCTCCCCTGATGAAGGTGCCCTGGTAAATGCTGCCAGAAACTTTGGCTTCACCTTCCTGGCAAGGACCCAGAACACCATCACCATCAATGAGATGGGCACTGAGAGGACGTACAACGTTCTCGCCATTTTGGATTTCAACAGTGACCGGAAGCGGATGTCCATTATCGGTAGGCCTCCCCCGACCCTGTCTGCCACTTACTCATTTAGAAGCGGCTTTCACGCATGTTATGTAACAACCTGAAGATAGATAAAGCAGGCGATGGGGCGATCTGCTGGCTGCTAGTTTCCAGTTTTGTCAAACTAGTGTTTTCTTCCTTCATCCTGCACGAAGCCCATTGCTTAAAGGGACTCCTTCATTGGATCTGAACCATGCGAGTTCACATCTTGTAGGTTGGTTGGTTGGTCGGGTTTTAACAAGTTTGGTGTACTTCAGCAATATGGACTGTCCAGTGATGAACCCAGGGTGTAGCGAGGTTGTTTTCCTACAGCCGGTGTTTTCCTGGGGCTTCGGCTCCACTCCTGCCTTCAGAGGAGGGAGCATGTACAGGAGAGGAGTTCTGAGAAAGCAAAGCTGTTAATGACTAGAAAACAAACCTCCAGTCCAGGCACCAAGTAGAGACGAGGGCTGCTCCCTAATGTGAATTCACTCTCTGTCTATAATTTGAAATCATTTCAACCTTAGCAGAAAAATTGCAAGAATGATGTAAAGAACGCCTGCATTCCCTTCCATGGTTACCAAACTATTTGTATCCGTTATATATTCTTTGTCATTTTCATTACATATCAATTCTTTTCTGAATCATGAAAATAAAGTGCACTTTTAATGTCCTTTCCTTCCAACTACTTCGGTATTTCCAATGAACAGGAACATTGTTATATGCAGTAAAATGATCTGAATCAGAACATGTAATGCGCTGTATTATTACTATCTTAGCTACAGAACATTTACAGATTTTACCAAGAATTTTCTTTCTTTTGTGGTTCAGGATCCAACCCAAGATCATACATTGTGTTAGGTGATCCTTACTGGTCTCTAATCTAGGAAGTTAAAGTTCCGTGATCTTTTTGTGATCTTTTGCTCACTGGTCTTTTTGAAAAGCTCAGGTCCACTATTTCTTGGAAAGACCCTCAATATGAGCTTGTCCTAAGTTCCCTCATGATTGATTCAGTCGACACCAGATTGATGCTGTGTTCTCCCCAGCTTGTCGCTTCAGAAGGCACATTCTTCTGTTTATGCCAATGGAATTATTGGTGATCACTATGGTGATCGCTTGGCTTGTTGGTGTTCGCAAGACTCCTCCAGTCGCAGACTGGATTTCTGACCAATAAAAATCTATAGGCTTGTCTACTGAACCCTGATTAAGCACTTTTTACTGAGTGCTTTCTATATGATTTAGGTTAATTATCATGCCTGTCATCTTAAAAGCTTTAAATCTTGTTAGCTATGAGGCTTATACTGCAATCAAACTACTGGACAGATCCAAAAATCCAAAAAATAGAGTTATATTATGATCTGGATATTAGAGACAGTGCATGTTATGAGTTTATAAGGGTCTTATAAAAGTGTCTTTTAAAAAAGGGTCTTATAAAAGTGTCTATGGGTTAGTATGACAAACCAGGCTTTGTGGAACTAATTTATGAGCATAGGGCATAACGCATAGTAGGACATCAGGAAATGTTGAAAGAGTAGTCAGAAGCTGTATTATCTTTTTTAAAGACCTACTTATTTGCGCATACAGAACTGAGGTACAGGCCAGAGGCTCAGGGGTGGCGAGAGGCTTCACCAGAGACAGAGTGGGGAGCAGAACAGGTAGATCGACGAAGTACACTGCTGAGGGGAGTAGCGGGTGGGTCAGGAGAGGTCTGCCATGCCATGTGGTCACCTCCAGGGCAGGCGGGAATCGAACTCATGCAGAAGTGGCTTTAGCTTCTCAGTGTTGTGCTTTAACTCGCTGCGCTACCAGGGAGGGCCCAGAGGCTGTATTATCTTTAAAGTTGGCAATGGAGAATCCCTTCAAGGGAACTCCCTTCAAGGGAACCCCTTTCATGTCCCAAGGAAGAATACTTCCTACCCCCTTGAGACTGACCTAATTAGATTGGGACCATCCAGATAATCTCACTATCTTACGTCACCTGACTTAGAACACTGAGGTGCGTCTTCACATTTATTTCACTATTCTGTGTCGATAGTGGCTCTATTTCCAAATGTTGAGAACATTTCTAGGTGTGTTACAGGGCAGGGAGAGGCACCCCTGAACCCCCAAACCTGCCTGCTCTAAATAGGTTCTGCCATCTACTGCATCAAGACAAAATATGTAAGACATTAATAAAAAGGAACTTTAATACAGTAAGTATACAACACAGAAGAACAAGAATATAATTTCTAAGTCAAACACCTGAAGTTACCCATCCCTTGTGGGCAGAAGTCCACCCAAAAGGGATTGGCCCAAAGCAAGGCCTGAAAGCCCACCACAAACCTAAAGCACCTTTTGGCTGGAACCCATAGGAAAGGGTCAGAAATGACCAAATCTGGGAGGAAACTGCCATAGTCAACCTCCCCACAGGTCTCTCACCCACATCTCTTTCAACCAGTCCAGGGCCAAGAAATAAACACGGTTTCTTCACATATCTCCCTTTGCCCCATGTGGCTTCCTTAGGTCTCATGGCTCTCCATCCTGTTTCCTTCCTCTTCAAACTCCTCTGCTCAGCTCCACCCTCCTTCTGGGTGGGGCAGAGAACCTGGAACTTCCCCATTTTTAGGGATCACCCTGTTATAGGTGCACTGATGATTTAACAGTGAGTTATCAATACAGCAGTACTTCAGATTAACTAGTAGAAGTGTAATATGTAATAGAAGTGTAATTTTCTATTACAAAATTAAATCTAACTTAATTATTTGCTTTCTTTCTCTTGCTACTAGTAAGAACCCCAGAAGGAAGTATCAGGCTTTATTGTAAAGGTGCTGACACTGTCATTTATGAACGACTACATGCAATGAATCCTTCAATGCAAGAGACGCAGGATGCCCTGGATGTAAGTCTTGCCTCTAATCTTATGTCACAGATTCCTAACTTACTTTCAGGTACTATTTCTTATGTTTGAAATTGCATGGAAAATGTTGACCCTCCCTGATATTGGTGTAATTGGCTAGAGCAGCAAAGTGGGCAGTGGGAATATGATGGGTTCATTCCGGTCCTGCCCCTGCCAGTGCCTTCTTAGGAAATGACCCTGATGCCCTTTGACAGCTTCCAAGTTGGCAGGACCTGCAGGACTGGTTCAGTGAACTTGAGCAAGAACCTTGACCACACGGAACTGTAGTCTCAAAATCTGTGTGGCCCCATGAATTCCACCGTTCATTCATAGCAATGCCATGCCTGGAGTCCTGCTCCTTTTGTTATGAAATCCTTTGACTTTCCTATATCAGGCTTGTTCTCTTCAGATGTGTCCTTGATCCAGTGATACTGCAGTTATTACAAGTGCTTTAGGGATTTCTCTTTTGCAACTGCCTATCAGTTCCCATATTGGTTCTGTAGCAGATGGAGGCCACCCTTCAGACCTTATGTCCCAATTCTACCTCTTGTTTTGTGTCCTTTGGGGAAATAGCTGGTGTCTCAGGTGAATTATTAATTCCTGTGGAAGAGGCGCAGGATAGCTCCTACCAAGGAGGGTGGTGCAAGGAAAAGCTTGTTAGCCTTCCCAGCACATAGCAGGTGCTGATAAAGGTTTGTTTCTTCTCTTTAAGAGTTTGATTGCTTGTGGGGGTTGGTCAGAGGTCTTCAGGAAGAGGCCTGATGAATATGTTATTTACTAAGTGCAGTTAGTAAGTAAATATATGTGTCACTGACGTAGTTATGTCTGTTCAACGTGATTACATTTTCCACATACTTTTTCATTAAAATGTTTTACCCCTGATTGAACATGGGTATTTCAGAACTGGTTTGAGGGAATAGTGCTTGGCTGAGAATTCCTACTTGATGGGGGCTTGAAGAGTCTGCAGGGAAAAATTACAAAGATGTCAGGTCTATGTTTACAACATTACTGCTCTTGTCATTTATTATTTGCATAGTCAATTCTTGGTTCTTAGCAGAAAGGTGTGCCTTTCTCTCCAACTAATTTGGGAACTACAAATACAGACCTAGGATCCTGAGAGCACTGAGAAAAATAGTTATATTTGTACAGAAGTCGTCATCTTTCATGATCTCTTTAAATTTTCTTATTTCAAAGTAAGTCTGCAAACTTGATCTTGAATTTCATAAAATTAACTGTTGTTTGGCTGAATGGATTATCTTTCAAATCAGGTCTTTGCAAGTGAAACTCTCAGAACCCTGTGCCTTTGCTACAAGGAAATTGAAGAAAAAGAATTTGCAGAATGGAATAAAAAGTTTATGGCAGCCAGTGTAGCCTTAACTGACCGAGATGAAGCTCTGGATAAAGTGTATGAGGAGATTGAAAAAGACTTAATTGTGAGTTTTAACCTTCATAACATTTTGCTTCCTGTTTTAAACAGATTTGGAAACTGTATTAAATTTTATTACATTTTTAATCTCATGCTGGAAAGATAATTCTAACTCCAGCCTTTGAAATTGGCAAAATATAACAAGGTCATTTGAGGTTTTATCTGTTCTGCAAGCAAAGTGAATTTGCCATTATGAGAAACTGAAAGACAGAAAACACTGAGAGATTATATCCTCATTTTATTATTTTTAATATCACTTATTAAAATTCCTTGCACTACTGTCTGGTAATTACTTTTAATTACCAGACCCACCCTGGTGGTGTAATGGGTGCCCTTCTGGCCTGCACCCCAGTTCTGAATACATAAATAAAAATCTTAAAAAAAAAAAAAGTGCTGTTACACTTTAAAAAAGAAAAGGTTGTTGGCTGTTTGGTTCAGTGAATTTGTGAAATGCAGTAGCTTTCAATATCTGTGTCCATTAACCTCCCCAAAAGCATTGACATGTATTTTTTTAAAGGTTTTATTTGTGCATATAGAACTGGGGTACAGACCAGAGGTGCAGAGGCGGTGAGAGGATTCACCAGTGACAGAGTGGGGGGCAGAATACGCAGACTGAGGAAGTACATGCTGAGGGGGGCAGAGGGCGGGGCGGGCGGGTCTGGAGAGCTGGGTCACCTCCAGGGCCGGGGACTGAACTCGCACTGAAGCGGCCACGGCTAGCCCCCCAGTGCTGCACTCCAGCCCACTGCCCCATCAGGGAGGGCCTAAGGTGCATTATTTTTGACATAAATTGTACTTGTCAGCCATTTTGGGCTAATTTGCTAATCCCTTTCTTTTAAATGTACACGGCAGCTCTTGGGAGCAACAGCTATTGAAGACAAGCTACAGGATGGCGTTCCAGAAACCATTTCGAAACTTGCAAAAGCTGACATTAAGATTTGGGTGCTTACTGGAGACAAAAAGGGTAATCCATTGTGTAGAGAAGTCAGTCTGTTAACCCACAAATATTCTCAGCTCCTGTTCTCTTGCCAACATGCCCTCCTCAGACTTTGCCTATAAACACCCTCCATTTTCACTGGAACACTTTTCCCTAAGCAATCCTCCGGGATTATTCTAACCTAGACTGAGCCCAGTAGCAGTGTGTGTCTCTTCCGCCTGAGCGCCCGACTATCTTTACTGTGGTTAGTCTTCTCGCCCAGCTAGAAGTGAGCCCCTCCCGGCCGTAGCAGCCTCTTGTCCCTTCACCCTTCCGGACACTTAGTCACAGGTTAGAACACTACAGAACGCTGCATTTTTGCTTTTGTGCCCATTGTATTTATTGAAACGACAATTTTTAAAATAATATGTTTGTTTTTACATCACTTCGTGCCTTTTTCCATCTCAGTTGTAATCCCTGGGGGCTTCCCATCACCAAATCACCCATGTGCCATCACCACAGTCCAGGGCACTTCCCACCCTGTTCCCCACTCCACCCCCGTAAAATATCACTGATTTGTAGTTGTTCATTATTATTCTCTTTTTCTCTCCCCCTCCCCTCATCCTTTATGTTCCTGCTATGAGTGAAACCATCTGGTATTTTTCTTTTTCTTTCTGGCTTATTTCACTAAGCATGATCCCTTCCAGCTCCATCCGTGTTGTTGCGAAAGGCATGAGAAACTATTATATTTTTATAGTTAAGGGATGACTTTTTCTAAATTTAGACTCAAAAAGTTGATGGGCATTGATACTTGGCCCCACAAACCTCCCACAGAAACCAGGTAATTTCTTTCTTTCTTCTGACATCAGCAATAGTTTACCCATTCTGATAAACTAAGGGAGGCATAACCCTGGCCTTAAACAAATAGCAATGGAAGGTGATGCAAAAAGAGAAAAAAATTCTCTCCAGCAGGAGCCTCATGGCAGGATGGATGGAAATCGTACCTTCCCTCTGTAACAGGAAGATTAAACCATGTGAAATGCGTGTGCTCACTACTTCAGTGAACATGTTACATATAACCAGCTACTGTATTTGGTATCAGGTCACATCTTAGCAGTGTAAACATCATGAGCCTACCCTTATCACAGAGAGATTTTTCTTTTAGATTTCTATACATTGCCACCTAAAAACAGCTGTTTGATTGAATCTGACTCGTTAATTAAAAAGTCATCCTTATTAAACAAATTCAGTGATTAAACTCATCTGTAGGAATGACACTTGACATAATCTTGCTCTGTTGCAGAAACTGCTGAAAACATTGGATTTGCCTGTGAACTTCTCACCGAAGAGACCTCTATCCTCTATGGGGAAAATATAAAGTAAGGAAGGACCTGAGGTCTGAGAACAGAAAGCTCTCGTTTGCGTAAAAGCGAAACCAGATGCAGAAGACCTAGCAGATTAGGAAAAATGGAGCTAGAATATCACCTGGGACAGTATCTTGAATGAAACAAGAGACCAACAGGCAGCTCTGAGTTAATGGAGTCCCGCCCTACTTCTAGGAAAGTGTGGGGTCTTTATTTGCCATTTATGGGGGTGTTAATGTCTTACAAGTCTTTGGTGTGGGGCTGGGATATTATGAACAAATTAATATGAACTATTTCACGTGTTGCCTTTTTAAGGAATTTTATCTTATGAAAAAAAAAAAAAAAAACCCACAGTACTGCCTGGAAGGAAGTGAGTGGGTGGTTTGCAGCTGTCTTGTCCAGATGGGGCAGATCTGATGTTTTGAAGCTCAGCTCATGCTGAGACACTCAGCCCCCAGTCAGAGTCACAGCCGACCAGAAAAGGACCCGCGAAAGGCCCCGTTTTACGCAGCTACGTATGCACGAACAATGCCAGGATGTTTGCATGTGGCTCATGCCATTTATTTCTCTGGGTTTTTTTCTCTTACATCCCTGGGGCTGTTACAAGGGCAAATTAATCTGTTACCCAACCCTTGCCTTGTCTGCTAAGATGATAAGGGACTTGGGTGGATTCGTTCTTTTTTTTTTTTTTTTTTTTGAAGATTTATTTATGCACCCAAGAATTAGGGTACAGGCCAGAGGTACTGGTGGTGGGGGGAGGAGGGTGGTGAAAGGATTCATCAGAGGCAGAGTGGGGAGTAGCACGGGGAAAATTCACTGAAATACACTGCTGAGGGGAGCATTGCTGAGGTCTGCGGCGCCATGTGGGTCACCTCTCTGGCCAGGGATCGAACTCCTGCTGAGTGACTTGCTGATAGCTTCATAGTGCTGAGATATTAACCCTTGTGCTACCAGGGAGGCCCTCAGCCTTCATGCTAAAGAAGATAATAGAGTTTCCTCCCCTGCCCATTATTATTAATTTTTTTATTGTCATTATTTCAGTCTTTTTGCAAACCCTTCCAGTCTACCAAGGGGGTAGTTAATTAAAATTAACTACTAATTAAAATTAGTAGGCTTATAAAAAAAATTAGTAGGCTTATAACCTCTTAGATCAGTTTTGTTTGAATACAGGTAGTCAGGTCTCTGCTTTTAGGTTTTTAAAAGTAACATTAGACAGGGACCTCCCTGGTGGCTTAAGGATTAATTCTCAGCAATGACACCACTATTACCCAGCCTGGGAGCTGACCCACAAGGTAGAGACCTCTCTTACCCGCCCACCACTCCCCTCAGCAGTGTATTTCAATCAATCTGCCTGTTCTGCTCCCCACTGTCTCTGGTGAATCCTTTCACCACCACCCCCACCCCTCTCTGGCCTGTATGCCCAGTTCTTATATGCATAAATAAATATTTAAATCTTAAAAAAAAATAAGACAAATATTAATACATTCACTACTAAGTAATTTTGTGGTTTCAAATAATTTGGTTATTAGCCTATGGTCTTGTTCTTTTCCTGTAAATGGAGGTATTAAAGTTTCTGGTTTGTGTTTTCAAAGTGTTCAAAGGGTTCTTTTCTGTCCGAAAGATGAAAGCGTTCTGCAGGGTGGTTGTGTACAGTGTGAACAGATTTATTAATACGGAACTTACACTTAACAATAGTTAAGCTAATTTGTGTTAGGTGTTCTTTTTACCACAATTTAAAAAGAGTGTGTCAAAATTATGTCATGGTCAGGTGCCTGTAGAGATCTTGCACTTAAACACTTCATTCCCTTTCTCTCCAGTGAACTTCTCCAAAAACGGATAGAAACCCAGAGGGACAGAGGTGGGGTCTATGCCAAGTTTGTGCCCCCTGTGGATGAGCCGTTTTTTCCACCTGCTGGAAACCGCGCCTTGATAATCACTGGCTCGTGGTTGGTATGTATCATCCGTGACTCACAAGAGGTCGCTAAGACCCACGGTGGAGGTTCTGAGGTTTCCCACCTGAACCGCCAAGCGACACGTCCCTCACTGTGTATGTAAGAGGTCACGTCCCAAACTTCCCAACTTTGAGGCTTAATTATATGAAAAGTTATAGCTTACCTTTGGCTCACCAGTTCATGGCTTCTCTTTTTTCTTCCGTACATTTTTTTGGTCTGCTCTTAACATTTTAATGTATGTTTTCTAATCAGAACATTATCATCAATGATACCACTTTACGAACTGGATAGTTCTCTTGTGAACGAAGCTCTTGATGTATGTAGAAACTAAACGAGGTGTCATCCTTCCTCTCCGATTTCACAGAATGAAATTCTTCTAGAAAAAAAGGCCAAGAGAAGTAAGATTCTGAAGCTCAAGTTCCCAAGGACAGAAGAAGAAAGACAATTTCGGACACAAAGTAAAAGGAAGATGGAAATTAAGAAAGAGCAGCGGCAGAAGAGCTTTGTGGATCTGGCCTGTGAGTGCAACGCTGTCATCTGCTGCCGGGTCACCCCCAAGCAGAAGGCCATGGTGGTGGACCTGGTGAAGAGGTACAAGAAAGCCATCACGTTGGCGATCGGAGATGGGGCCAACGATGTCAACATGATCAAAAGTGAGTGAGTGCGCCCAGATGAGAGCAGACTACGGGAGCACCTAGGGGAGGTGGGCTGGTTTGTTTCAGGTTTCACTGCTTGGGCTTCTGTCAAGCAGCTGTTTAATCAAGCCACATAGCCATGCTGACATCTGCTCTTGCCCTCAAGGAGCTTACAGTCACCCCCCACAGGAGCAAACAGGTCGTCCCATGGCACCACCTGTAGGGTGCTACAGAGCAGCCACGGTCTCTACGGATGAATCTATCCTTAGTGTTTCCTCCTTTTACATGTTTGGGGGAGGGTCTCTGGTTCTCCTTTCACATTATGTTAGGACTCATTAAAAGTCCTGCTATTTAGCACATTTGGAGAATTTCTGTTGAGTTTGGCATACATTGAATTCTCTTTGGTGTCTAGTTTGAGAATATTCTGTCACTATGCATCTGTTTCTGGGGATCTCTTCTTGCCTTTGGTGATCTGTTGGGACTTGTTCGGTAGGTGGATGGTGTAGGCTCAAGAGTAGCACAACTGGGCCCTCCCTGGTGGCGCAGCAGGTTGAAGCGCAGCACTATGAAGCTACCCACAACCACTGCAGTGTAAGTTCAGTTCCCAGGGGGGGAAGTGACCGATATGGCACAGCAGACGTCTCTTGACTCGCCTGCTGCTCCCCTAAGCAGTGTATTTCAGTCCATCTGTTTGTTCTGATCCCACTCTAGTGAATCCTGTCACCCACTCCCCCACCCAACTCACAAATACAACCTCTGGCCTGCACCCCAGTTCTTGTATGCATAAATATCTATTTTTTAAGATTTATTTATGCATACAGAACTGGGGTATAGGTCAGAGGTTCAGGGGGCAGTGAGAGGATTCACCAGAGACTGGGAGTACATAACAGTCAGACTGACAAAGTACACCGCTGGATGTTTAGACAGAAGTCTGCTGTCCCATGTGGGTCACCTCCCTGGCCAGGATCAAACTCATGTTGTAGTGGCTGTGATAGCTTCTGGTGCTGTGCTTTAACCTGTTGTGCCACCAGGGAGGGTCCTGCATAAATACCTCTTTAAAAAAGAAAAAAAGTAGCACACCTGGGTGCTCTCACCAGCCTCCCAACTCCCCCGGAATTCTGCTAAAGGTCGCTCTGCTGGTTGGGGCACCCTAGGTGCCGAGAATGCAAGGATTGCGCTTTAGGCAGAAGCACAGTTGTGCTGGTGGTAAAGTATGTGGAGCCAAACTCTTAGTGACACATCGAATCCGGCCCTTCCCCAACCCCCACTACGCTGAGGAATCATACTGAAAACGCCCGAATCAGTGAGCCCAGAACAGTTGTTCTCATCTCACTGCCAAAAGCTGTGTCATAGGGGACTTACGCTCAGGCCCGTTTGCTGAAAATAAGAAAATGGTTTCTGCGGTCACCTCCAACTTTGTGAGGATGGTGGGACAGGAGCTACTAGCTACTAGAAGTACCTCCTGTCGTGCAGGCACTGTAAAGGCCTCACCGCTAAGCAGACTTTTAATTCAGCTATGTTGTAACTCATGTGTCTGTCTCTTTCTTTTCTTAGAGTCTCTTCCTCCTCCTTGACATATATACTCAGAATCTTCCGACTTTATCTTCCTCAACAGGAGTCAGCTGTGTGACGTATGTCTTGCTCCTTTATTATGTGTCTGTCACCACTGCCAGTTGAATTCCTCTCCACTGTGTTCTGTGAGTCCTTTTCTACCACAGAGGTGCCTCTGAATTAGACCTGTTTTTCCTGTGTTGCCAGCTCTAGTTTATTTTCCATGGTGTTTAGTTGTGCCAAAAGGGCATCGAACGAAAACATCATTTTTATTCTGTTATAATGTAGCTGTCTAGATGTTGGGGAGAGGGAGGTTCTTTTGCAGATTTTCCATCAGATGATGATTTGTGTTCTGGCTCCCCCCTTGTGAAAAGGATCTCAGAAGAGTCAGCACAGATAGACTGGTAGACTGGTAATTCTTAAAAAGCTTCAACACCTTTATTAAGCTCTACTATGGCGGGTGCTTCTGCACACCGTCTGGGCAAAAAGCAAGGGCACACCAAGAGCTCCTTGGAATCAGCGGCATTATCCAGTAACGTTAGTGCTTTTTTGTGGTTTGTAAAATGCCTCAGCTCTTTCACCTGCACAAAACAGTACACGTAAGTTGTTATTTGTAAAGTAGTCCTCAGAAATGGTCACTGGGCCTCCGTGGCCTAGTGGGTCGAGGCCGCTGCTGCCACACGAGCTTACCTGGCAAGGCTCGAGGACACCCATGGCAGCCCTCTGCCTGTGCCTCGGTGTCCGCTGGCTGGTGGGGGTTGTTTCCCCTTGGCCTAAGTCCCTTAAACTGAACCAACAGCATGAGAGAGTTGGAGGCCTGGAGGAAGTGATTAGTGTGTTGAGGAATTAGGATCACATATGGACCTCAAAAAAAATCAGGGGCCTATTTTGGAGGTTGGGGGGCTTCACAGTGCCTGTCTGTTGCCTTGAGCGACCCCGTGACAGCCAAGTCCATTCTGCTTACTGTCCAGGCCTGCTGAGCGGGGAGCCTGGGCTGGACGCAGGGCCGGTGCTGCTTCCGTGGCTCCAGCAGGGTCTCAGCGCCTAAGCCTGTTCAGAAAGAAGGCAGCTGTGGCTTTGTAATTTAGTCACCCCAGCTGGCCTCGGTGCCGTTTGTGTTTTGACAGGGGTCATAAAGACTGAGTGAGACACAACTGATTCTATTTTGATAGAATTGCAGTGTTACCGGGAGTGAACAAGTCACTGTGTTACGGTTTAACCTTGCCAGATCCCAGGGTCTGCCACCAGTCAGAGCCTTGGCGCTTGTGAGATGGTAGCCGCGCCGATCCGGCAGCCGGGGCTGAGCACCGAGTGGTGGCGCTCGCCAAAGCATGCTCCCCAAGTGCGCTCACTTCCGTGACACTGAAGCGCGGGACCAGCTTCATAACACTCAAAGTTGAAAATATAACAGCTATTGGAACAATGGATAAAATGTGGCTTTCACTTTGATACACTCTGGGGCCTCTGCCCACCACACCCACCCACCCACAGTGCATGTGTTAAGGTCACGCTGGGCCGTAGTGTTTAGTGTCTTGGTTAAAACTGCTTTGATGACATTTGTTGGAGAACTGCAGGTAGCTTAAGCATAAAAAATAATAACTTGAAAAGATACCAAGATGTCTCATGCTGTCCAGGAGGCCAGCCTCAGGAAAATGCTGGAACTAGGACCTGAACACCACCAGGAACCCAGTGTCTTTGTCTCTCTCCTTCACTCTTTATTTTGCTGCCCTTTAGAACTCCACCTCTCACCTCAACAACTTAACGTGTTGCAATTCCACTGCAACACGCCAAACCCTAAGTGCACCCCTCTCCTGGGTCCCGTCGCCAGGGTACACGAGAGCAGCTCTCAGATGCTTTCGTAGAAGTGACTCATCCAGGAAACTGGGCGCTCTGCACTGAATGAAGAACGGGTTTGAGCTGAGTCTAATGTCTGGGGTCCGTCCCCTGCCAGTGGGCTCTCTCCGAGGGTCCCCTGAAGAGCCTTCAGCTGAAGCCTCTGCCCATCCGTCCGCATCCGGGCAGCTAGACAATGGAGATTGGCTCTGTTCCAGAAACATCAGTAAGGGCAGGCAGGCTGGCCCCATTCACCACTGCTTCCATGCTGCCAGTGGGTCAAGGCTGGAAGCCCAATTCACGGAGAGCTGATCAACAAGGCACGTGGTCATCACAGGGCTTTTATTTGCTTTCCCTTTAGAACCAGGGTGGACTGAAGGTTGAGAGTCAGTTCGTAAGGCCTAGCTCACATAACCTACCTGCCTGTGTCTGACTCAGCTCTGGTCAGGGAGGCCCAGCACTCTTGGGTGCCTGGGGCTCGCCTGTGGGTGGGAGAGATGGCTGACGAGTTGGGCAGATAATGCCACTGGAATTTACCACCCACCTGAGCTCCTTTCACAAATATTTATGGAGGCCCAAGCATGTGCTGTAATTAGCAGCTGACACCTCTGACTTTGAGTACAGAGGGTGGGGAACAAGTTATTTCAGGTGTATTGTTCCATGGATGTCTTTGTTCATTGTTTTTGCTATGGAAATATTTTTACCTTCTGTTTTGCCTTGTGATTGTTTCTTCTCCCTCTGCCCTCTAGCTGCCCACATCGGTGTCGGAATAAGCGGGCAAGAAGGCATGCAAGCTGTCATGTCGAGCGACTACTCCTTTGCCCAGTTCAGATACTTGCAGAGGCTGCTGCTGGTTCACGGCCGCTGGTCCTACATAAGGATGTGCAAGTTTCTACGCTATTTCTTCTATAAGAACTTCGCTTTCACTCTGGCTCACTTCTGGTACTCCTTCTTCAACGGGTACTCGGCACAGGTAACCCAACTGTCCCTGTCACTTGAGCAGCACCGTTTGCTTACATAAACAGCCGCCCCTGGCCAAACACGTCTAACTCCTCCTTTGCCATTTTGGCGCTCAAGCTGAACAGTGACCGCGCAGGTTAATGAAGGTCAGAGACTATCTGCTCAGCTGCGTTCTGGTTCTTTAAAAATATCGCCCAAATCAGTGGAATTTTTTTCCTAGTCGACTGGCTTTTGCCCTCACCTTAGATTAGAATACAGGTATCAAATTGTTCAACTCTGCAACTGTAAAATTACCTTGTGACCAGGGGCTACAGCGAGTCTATCAACTTGGGGTGGTGGCAGAGGTACTGTCATGTCTCCAGCTGTTGGTCTGTTTTGCTAAAACGGGAGGGTGGGCATCTGTAGTATGTTAACATGATACAGAAGGTCATCAGTAAAAAGTAACCCTAAGTCAGAGTCTGGAGGCAAACCGGCCCCTCTGATCTCCGCCAGAAGGTGCCAGGAGTGAGGAGCGACCTGGCGCTGGGGCCCTCTCAGGATGTGACCGTAGCCGCTGGGGGAGCCATGCCTTCTGTGCTACCCTGAAGGTGTGCACAGACCTGCCTTTGAGAGCATCATTTCTTACATCCAGTCAAATCCTTTCTTACAAAACCTATCACTGGAACCGCTAGGCCTGCAAGATAAAGAAAATATGTTACTTACGTGCTTTTGGGCTAGGTTTATTTTTCCAGCTCAGTTCACATAAAATCGACTCCTTCTCCAAAAACTTGCTAGAGTCTGTGTTCCCTCCTTCTTACAAGGAAATTCGTTTCAATGGGAAGGTCACTGATTCTGCCCATTCCATAGAAAAAAACAGGTGCCATTTAAAGGTGTAGATGAGGGCTCTTTATTCTGGCAGGGGAAGACCCCACTCAGTCTGGGGACGCCCCCTCTTTGAGGGAGAGGGCAGGCTGGCCACACTTCCCAGAGTGACAGACTCTGGTCTCCCCGCAGACGGCGTACGAGGACTGGTTCATCACCCTGTACAACGTGCTCTACTCCAGCCTGCCTGTGCTGCTCACCGGGCTGCTCGACCAGGTAGGAGCCTCGTGCTGGCCGGGCGCTTCCGACAGGCCCGGCACCTCTGACAGGGTCACAGCAAATATTCCCGTTCACTTGTTTGGTTTTCACTTCATTTGGAGAAAACACTCCTTCTCCTGTTGTTGGGCGGCAAGGTCACAGCCACACTGCCTGCGCTCACAGTAAGAGAACACCGAGTTCCCAGCCCAGGTTCTAAGAGGTCATTTTAACACCTTTTAAAACATGTCTTGTTCCTGAATTGCCCACTTTCTATCTAGAAGCAGTTGTTAGAGACCATGCTTTAATGAATAAAAATAATTTGCAGTCCACTTTGGATAACTTGAAATGAGCAAAAAAAAAAGCTTGGGAAAATATGTGAATATAATCAACCCCTAATAAGAAGTGCTACTTTCTTCCAGGGGGTTAGAAACAGCTTCGCTAGCTAGGTGTTTTTTGACATTGCCCATTCGCTTTCTTTCCATGGGTAGCAAAATAATAAATTTCTCCCTGGCCCCTCCCTGAAGTGAACAGCAAGCAGTGGCGAACTCAGGTATCAAGACTGCTCTCTACACATGAAAATGATTTAGTCTTTGCCCTGCTAAGCTGAACCCCTTGTTTCCTGAGGGAGGGTACAAAGCTTTTGTGTTTTCTGTCAAGGATGTGAGCGACAAGCTGAGCCTGCGCTTCCCTGGGCTGTACGTGGTGGGCCAGAGGGACTTACTGTTCAACTATAAGAAGTTCTTCATCAGCTTGTTGCACGGCGTTTTGACGTCCATGGGTCTCTTCTTCATACCTCTTGGAGCTTATCTGCAGACCGTGGGCCAGGATGGCGAGGCCCCGTCAGACTACCAGTCTTTTGCTGTCACGATTGCCTCTGCTCTTATAATCACAGTCAATTTCCAGGTATGTGGTGGCACTCGGCGTCCTGACACCTGTGTTTCTGTATACACCCAGTGTGTCCATCCACCTGGCTTCCACTCTCCCTCCAGCCTGAGCTGCCCCCACTTTACAAAGTATGGAAGCTGTGTTCACCCCTGTGCCAAGAACCATTCTGCTTCTTGCCTGAGCAAGGATAGTTTGGTTCAGTGTCCAGGCCAAATCAGGCCTAAGTTCCTGCAGTCTATTTTCAGAGTTTCTTCGAACCCTCATTTCACACCAATACCCCAACGTGAGTGCTCTTTTCCCTGCTTTCCCAACAGATTGGCTTAGATACTTCTTACTGGACTTTTGTGAATGCTTTTTCAATTTTTGGAAGCATCGCTCTTTACTTCGGCATCATGTTTGACTCTCACAGTGCCGGGATCCACGTGCTCTTTCCATCTGCATTTCAGTTTACAGGTGGGTATTTCCTAAATGCCAAAGATGTACAGGAAAATATTACTAGTGTAGATTGTGAAGCATCTTAAAAACACAAATCTTTACCACTAAAAATTGCTGTCTGCTCACCACCCTTCTTACCACCATTCAAATTGAACTACACATCTATTCAGTTAGATAGAAACCCGCCCCCGACTCCGGCATTGAAACCTAACATGGATAGGTTACTGGGAAATTGAGTATACGTAAGTTATTAGTAGTGCTGTAAGTTTAATCTTTCTAAAACACTATCTGGAAATACATAGTAAACTATAAAACTTTGTATATTTTGACCCCATATTTCCACTTTGGTAAATATGCCTTGAAGATAAATGAAACACACCAAACTTTAGGAAGGTAACTGACATAAAAGATTGAACCATTGCACCTGATTTTTCTAGTTGTTCACGAATGGAAATAGTTGTTCACCCAAAGCCCTAGCTGATGGGACTATAAAATACCCGTATGATGGCATTCTAGAACCAGAAAGCGGGAAATAAGCATGCAGAGCTATAAGTGAAAGCACAGCATTTTCCAACTTTATAAAATGATGTATTGAACTTTGAGTACATAGCTTTGATTCACTGAATTCAATGGGGGTGGGAGGAAAGTCCTCAGACTAGTCTATTAGTCTATTAGGTTTTATTATGACCAGTTCTGGATTGTAAAAGACATTTGCTGTAAATCTTTATAAAACTAATGGTTTTTTTTTTTTTTTAACTTACAAGTACAAGAAACATTGTGATAAATTTGTCTCTAGAAGATCAGCTATGTGTATAAATACATAATTTACTTGATTGCATTACAGAATTATTTCCTCTGACATAAAGCCCAGATGCAGCAGGAAAAGCCTGGCTCTGTTCAGGTAGATGTGGTTTTTAATTCACACATTGCCAGAACAGCTAATTCTATTACCATGGACAGTATGTTTACTTCTCCATGATTCAACTTCTTGTGGCAAAGAGGATAATGATGCTCAGAGCTGCTCAAGCAGAGTGGTCTATATAAAGGTGTTAACAGAGTGTTAACTGTTACTAGCACTTTAACTTTTGCAATTTAAGCAATGCAATGTCAACACACACATTTGCCTTCTTAGTTTTGCTAACCTACCTTTGATTGCAAAGTAGTCAGTGACAGGGGTGTTTTGAGGAAGGCTCTGAGTAGTAAAACTTGGATTCTGGGATGTTAACTGTAACACGCAAGGCTCACTGTCCTTTGCTGGCCATTCCTCGCAGGCACAGCTTCCAATGCACTGAGGCAGCCGTACATCTGGTTGACCATCATCCTGACCGTGGCTGTGTGCTTACTGCCTGTCGTGGCTATTCGATTCCTGTCCATGACCATCTGGCCATCAGAAAGTGATAAGGTATAGAAAAACAGTGCTCGTCAATCTGAGTGTCCCTCATGGAAACCAAAGCATTTCCTAGAAGCAGCTTTTCTGTAGACATCCAAACTTCTGAGAAGTTTGATATAAAGTTTTTATGGCCACTTCTTTATTTAATTTCAGTCTTGTAGATACTACTGTCTTGTTTTGCTTTGCTTTGTTCTTTGCATGCAAATAGGGTGGGTTTTCCTTATTTACAGAAACATGTCAGGATTCCTTGAGCTGCAACTAGCAGAAGCTGTGACTCAGATGCTTCCGTAATTAGGTAGCGCCTCAACATGTGTAATAATTTGCAGGCTCAGTTGGCTGAGCACCTTGACTTGGAGAAGGGGCTGCTGTTTTATCATCTCTGCCACCTTCAGGCAATCGTGACACAACAGCTAGGCTGGGCATCCTGACATGTCACTATCAGGTGGAAGAGAAAAGGATTATTTTGTAGCTTTCTCTTCCTGCAAAGCTTTTCAGTCAAGGGCCCAGCTGGCTTCTCTCAGATCTCGGCTACAATTAGGCCACATGTATCACAAGTCCAGGGGCAGGCAGGCAACCTTTAGTGCCCTCTAGATCCCCCTTTCCACAAACAGCACCAAGGGAAAGAGGCCTAGAGTGCTTTCTCTCACCAGTTAGCAACCCGATGGGACCAATGTGAAAGGACTCATTTTGGTGAGAGGGAACCTTGGCAGCCTCTCTCCATTTCCTGTACCCCATCAGAAGAGCAGCGGTGGGCGCATCAGTGTGACCCCTGCTCCCAGTCCCGGGTCCCTCAGACCTTCATTGTCTGGCGCCTCAGTTCTTCACCGCCCTGTCCCATCTCCTCATCCCAGATTCAGAAGCACCGCAAGCGGTTGAAAACCGAGCAGCAGTGGCAGCGGCGGCAGAGCGTCTTCCGCAGAGGGGTGTCGGCGCGGCGCTCGGCCTACGCCTTCTCCCACCAGCGGGGCTACGCCGACCTCATCTCCTCCGGGCGCAGCATCCGCAAAAAGCGGGCCCCGCTGGACGCCATCATCGCGGAGGGCCCCGCAGAATACAGGAGGACTGCGGAGAGCTGACAGCTCTGCCTCAGGAGGTCTCCTGCGAGACAGCCGTGAGAGGACGTGCCTGTTTTTTTATGAAAGACTCTCTGGACTTTTTAAAATGGAATCTGTCACAAGGAGGATGAAGAGACAGTCACCTTTATGACAGACTACCTGGGCTGGACTATGAAGCCACAGCAAGGCCGCGGACATCTTCCTGAAAGACCTGTTGTGCAACTGTCTGCATCCCCGACTGGCTGGCCCAGCCTCACCTCAGGCGACAGGAACAGAGGGGGCCGCTGTTTCCCCTCGCAAGGTATTGCATCATAAAGACCACCATCACCATTTCCTGTATTTCGCCTTATTAACAGAGATCGTTTTCTTACTTGGAATGGTAATGACAAGATTCAGTGCTCATCACCTGGAAGCTCAGTGGGCTGGTGACTTTTTCCCAGAGCTGATCATGTTGTTTATTGGCTTAATAATTCACTTCAATGAAGGAAAATGACTTAAAAACGTTTAAGTACAGGTTTCATTTCTCTTTTGGTTTACTGTGGACTAAAGTAGCACATTACATACGTTTACTGTTTCTATCCATGTGTTTAGTCCCTGTTTTCATTTAAAATGATACACTTAAATAGTCATGGACTTTTAAAGAAGTTTTTGGAAACTGAGGAGATCAGTGATAAATTGCAGAATCTTCTGCAAAGCTTTCTTTTGAAAAGCAACCTTTGTGCCTGCCTATATGTGTTCTAGAAGGGCCTTGAACCAGAGACCTCATTCTTTTTGTCACTTGTCTTTTGTCTGGAAGTCACAGTTCTAAGACTAACAGCACATCCTCTTAATATTGTAAACCAGGTAATCATGTAAAATATAACTATTCCTCAACTTCTAATGGGGTTATGTCCCAGTAAGCCCATACAAAAGGTTAAGTTGAAAATGCATTTAATGCGTCTTCCTTTGCCTATTCTACCTGATATGTTCTCAGAACCCTCCAGTTAGACAAAAGCCTTCAACACAAAGCCTGTTTTATAACAGTTGCCTATCTCATGTAATTTATTAAATGCACAGTGAATACCAAAAACACCCCAATTCAAACTTTCAAGTACAGTTTATATTAAATTCATAGTGTTTGCCCCGTCATCAAACCTAAAAATTACGTTCAACCATTGCAAGTCAGGGCCACCCATGCGTGCTCGGAGGTGACAGTTTATTTCCTAAGGCGTTTTGCCATTCTGTGTCTTTCCATACTAGAGACACTATTCTAGGGAAGACATAAAAGTGCTTTCAGTAATCCTGTTAATTGATCACTAGGCTGCAAATGTTCACAATATCAGTCCCTTTGAATTTCTATGAGAAAAATCACGTCATGTCTATAGTTCATTTTCTAGGTAAGATAAAGGAATGAATGCCTCTTTAGTCTTTGGGAATAAATTTCTGAATGTTTACAGCTCCTTCTCATCTTGTAAATATAACTGTTTGTGTTTTTTAAAGAAAAGTTAGCTTGTGTAATTGTCAGTTTGTGATTGTGGGAAAAGTCAACAATGCAAATGTGTCAAATACTTTACACTGTTGGGTGCAATATAAACAATTTGAGAATGCAAATTGCTTTGGATAAATTATTTCTATACTGTAAATCTGAGATTAATGTATATTTTGTTTATAAAATAAAAGCTTTAGTAAAATCTTTCAAAGTATGATCTTTTCAAAATCTCAAGTTCTTTTAGAATAGGGAATATGAAAGAAGGCTCTCGGGCTACAAGGTTTCTGAAGGAACTTAGGGGGTTCTCTGTGGGCAGAGATGACGAACACGGATGGGGGTAAGATCATCTCTGCCCGCAGAGGTGCGTCTCTGGACACTTAAGGGCTTTTTTTCACCACAATAACAAAGGAACCCTAGATGGTCTACGCAAGTGACCGAAGAACGAGGACACCGATGGGCAGGCAAGGAGGCAGCAGGAGACCTGAAGCTTCACGCTGGGGCACGGAGCCTGCTGACCTGGCTGCTGGACAGTGAGGGAAGCAGCGGCCTCCCCCAGAGAGGGCTTCTCTGCCACACAGAGGTGGGAACTTCTTTCAGAAGCATAATTACCAGCAGGCTATAAGACAGCTACTAACTTGGGGGTGCTTTTTAAGTTACAAATCAGCACCTCCTCCCCCCTTCGCTAATGCAATGAACTGCTTATTTCTGGAGCAGAATTGCAAGTCTGTCTCAGGGCAACCCTCTGGAAATGGGGAGAGGTGCGACAAATGAATAGCCTCTGCCAATTTTTTACTGGCATTTACTATTGGCTTATGAGAAAAGGCATGATTTTTTTTTTTTTTTCAAGCAAGGAATGCATCCTGGGGGGCCCTCCCTGGTGGCTCAGGGGTTGAAGTCTTAGCACTATGAGGCTGTGGGCAGCTACTGCACCATGGTCAGGGAGCTGACCCACACAGCGCAGCAGACCTCTCCTGTCTTGCCACTGCTCCCCTCAGCAGTGTATTTTAGTAAGTTAGCCTGTTCTGCTCCCACTCTGTCTCTGGTGAATCCTCTCACCCCCCTGCACCTCTGGCCTGCCTGTACCCCAGTTCTTATATGCATAAATAAATCTTAAAAAAAAAAAAGCATCATGACTTCCAACAACCTAACCCAATACTATTTAAATTGTGTGAGGAATAAATGTTTATAACTGAAGAGCACCACCTAACGGCTCTTGCTGATGTTCAGTACCAGGAACTGTTCAGCAATGACATCCGGTGGGAATAAAGCAGTTTTTAAGAGACGGCAATGTGATAGCAAACTGCACCCCAAGGGATTCTAGTCTATTTTAGCAGCTGCTGCCTTCATGTGGTGTGAAGGAAGCAGAGGAAAACTGCAAGGCAGCTCTAAAATCCTGTCAAGATCTGCTCGAACCTTAGGGTTCAATAAAGCTGCTGGTACATTTACAAGTACAGAAAGGTCTGTCAAAAACACAAGGATGCCTAAGGAGTGGAGGCTAGGAGCTTTAAAGACAAACACTATAAATGATCTTGACTTAAACAGATGTTTCTCTGAAGGACACCTATAAATGGCCAGTAAGCAGATAAAACCTTGCTCACGACGCTGACGTGAGGGGCATGTGCATCCAAACCACAGCACGACAGTACTTCACACCCACTAGGCTGACTATGAAAAATAATAAAAAGCAGAGCATAACAGGTGTTGGTGAGCATGTGGCCAAATCAGAACCCTCAAACGTTGAGTGGCGGGAATGTAGAAGGCTGAGGCCACTGTGGAAAGCAGTTTGGTAGCTCCATGAGGTAAATTACTCTAGGACCCTGTAGAGTAAATGGAAGTGATCGGGCTTTTTACAGCACTCGCCTCTATGGCCAGCACCCGGGGCTCTGACTGTCGCTGCAGTAGGCACATGGGGGCGTCAGTCAGGCGCGCCTGCACCAGCGGCCACCTAGCAAACTAAGGCACAACTCTGAGGCTCACCTGCTCGGACCCGCCCGCCAGCCCCTGTGCAGCCAGAAAGGCGCCAGGCTCTGCAAGAGGCTGACTTTGTAGTGGCGGGCGCTCCAGCGGGTGGCCCCATCTCTTTCTCTTTTTTCAAAGTCTGGGTTCTTTTCCAGCCCCCTCCCAACCCCATCACCTTCACACCCTGTCTGCCTCACTCTAGCAGCTGGTGGCACCATCTTTGCACACTCCCTCTACCACACGTCAGCTGGTCTCCCAAAGGAGTGTGGGCACATCTGGTGTCCCGGGGTTTAGGTCTGGTCCCTCGGTTTTTATGTTTGCCAAGCAGGGGAATCACCTGGTACTGGAAGCCAACAGTACTGTGCTCCTGGGTTCCACGGGGCTAACAAATGGAGCGTTTTTGACGGTTACCCACCTCAGGGCACAGCAAAGACAGCAGACAGAAGCAAGCCCCAGTTTTCTGTGACCAGACCTATTGGCTGATCCTATTGTGTTGGCCTGATGGCCAGAGTTCTGGTTAGCACACGTCTAGAGACCTGCCTGGATGTGTTCCCAGGTGTGCAGTCAACGGATAACATTTCTGTGCTCTCCTTTTCGGCATCACTCCAAGCTGCTGGTACCTCCCCACAAAGCCTGCACACCCATCTGGCACCTGAGCCTTTGCAATTGCCACTCAGGAAAACACTGAGTCTTGTCTGCTTTGGTGGTTGGTGGAACTTAAGCTTGTAGGTCTACAGAACCGCATATACTGGCATGGTCCTTTAAAAGCTGCTGCTTCAGGATCTGGCTTCCAATCGGCCTGCGTCCAGGTGCTGGCTGAGAGCCTCCTTCTGGGGACAATGATGTTGGCATACACTCAACTACCAGGTGCCTTTACAAATATTCCAGGGTATTTAGATAGTTACAAAGGTTTAAGAGACAATCATCAAGAGTTCTGAGAGAGCTGAATAAGGTTCATCTCCTACAACACGCAACCCATTCAAGAATGGGGAAGATGCTGGTTTCATCTCATACAGAAACAGAGAGAGACAGCACAGCAGACTATGTCCCAAAGAACAGAACCAAGATAAAACAAAGAAGTAGGGCTCTCCCTGGTGGTGCAATGGGTTAAAGTGCAGCATTATGAAGCTGGCTGCAGCTGCTTCAGCATGAGTTCGATCCCCAGCCCCGGATCTGAACCACAAGGTGCGGCAGACCTCTTCTGACCCACCCACTGCTCCCCTTAGCAGTGTGCTTTGTGACTCGGCCTGTTCCGCTCCCCACTGTGTCTCTGGTGAATCCTCTCAACACCCCTGTACCTCTGGCTCGTACCCCAGTTCTGTATGTTTAATTCTTAGAAAAAAAAAATAAAGAAGTAGTCAGTATTGAAATAGATAAGGATATATTGGGTTAAAAAGTTCAATTAACAGTCCTAGAACTGCTAGGATGAATAGATGAACACAGTGAGCACTCTAGGAGAGCAAAAATCTAAGTACCCATTAGAAGTCATAATACCAAGAATACAGAACTGGAAATGAAAAATTACAGGGATTCAATAGAAGGTAAGATGAAACAGGAGAGGTCCACTGAATTTGAACACACAGCAAAGATCTCACCTAATCAGAACAGCAAAAAGAAAAAAGAAAAAGGTGAAAATACCTTAAGGGACTTACAGGACACCAAGAAGACCAACACTTGCATTACAGAGGTCCAAGAAGGTGAAGAAAGGATCAGAAAGTCTGAGTAACAAATTCCCCTCATCAGGAGAAAGAAAAACATCCAGACCCAGGAAGCCAGAAATACCAAAAAATAAAAAGTCAACCCAACATTTTCAGGATACAATATTAAAATGTCAAAAGTTTAAGGGAGACTCTTAATTCTTACAGGCAAGGAAACCCCCATACAACTACCAGCAGATTTTCCCCAGATTTCCCAATATATTGTTACTAGGCAGTATATTGGATGTTGGGAGTAAAAAAACTCTCCACCCAAAGCAAAAGTAGTTTGATACTATTAAATCAGCCATAAGAAATGTTAATTGGACTTCTACAAGATGAAACAAGAGTGCAAATTTGTAACAAGAAAACATATGAAAGTATAAATATAAACTATGTATACACATGCATATGTATATAGCAAAATTCCGAATTTTGGAATATTGTAAAGGTAAATTTACCATGCATAAAAACTAGTATGAAAGTTAAAAGATAAAGCGAGGGGGAAAATCCTGTAACTACAATAATTTGTTATGGCATCCACAAGACAAAATGATGTAAGCCTGACAATCGGAGTCATCCCCGGCGTCAGGAGTCCCAGAGCAAGTTAGAGACGGCTCCGTGGCGGCACAGGCAGGACTCAGGAGAGTTGAAGAGGTCTCAGGTAAGAACAGAAGTCCGGGAGGGCTAATGAGGGCAGAGACCTGGACAGTGGCCATGAAAGACAGACCAAGAGCTGGGAAAATGGGCACATCTGTCAGGATAAGCAGAGCCAGCAGGAGAAAAACCAATCACCAAACAGGATGATGAGATTTTGGAGGAAAAAAGGTTTAAACACCCCTGGACACAGGCCCACGAGGGCTTCCTTGCCCCACCCAAGTACAGCGTACCTGGGAGCCCTTTCTTTGTTCCTTTAAATAAAACGTTATCACTTTCTTAAAGTTTGTTTTTCTCTGCTTACTTCATGGGCCACGAGCCAGTGTATCAAGGGCTAAATGAACAGCGCACACCTGCGTCAATTATAGGGAATAAGCCAGTCTATGGAAACCCTGGCGGTCTCCAGGTACCACCCAGTCTGAAATGCTCACCTACCTTCCTTATTTTAATGCTGTGTGACCCACATAAAAAAAAATGCTTATTCAAGAGTTTAATAAAGGATTATTTGTAAAAAAGCAGAATTTTGGTTCAAATATTTGAAAACCTTGCATCAAATTTCACCACTGTGAACACATTAACCAAGATCTTTAATTTACTGTAGTATTTCCGAGGATTTTGTGGCCGGGCGTGAAAATACTTTCATGACCTTCTCCAGTACCTAGAATCCTAACACACTATCGTTATCAGCTGGGCATGTGAAATTCCTCCCTATTCCAAGACCTGTAGGTCCCTGAATTCCTGCTAAACTGACACAATGACTGTTTTCCAAGGTGCCTTGCAAGACTGCCTTCCTCTCTGCAGAGGACACAACTAAGTCTGTTTTGGAAAGCTTCCTTGTTTCTTCTGCAGTTGTCTTCACCTTTCTAACTTGCTACCCCAGAGCCTACATTGTACCCAGGGCAATTCAGGGCGGAAATCAGCCCAGGTTGATAGCAACTGTGCTTTCAGGGGAAGCAGTTCGGACCAGAGCTCGCACAGCCTGTGAGCCCGCAGGGACCCTGGGTAGGGCTATCTAGGTCAGGCTGAAGAATGAAATGGCTGGGCTCACACTGGTTCTTAATTGTTTGCCCCCACCAGACCACAGGGCATATACCTGACAGCGGTGGAGGAGGGAAGTCAGCAGAGGGTTTGGTAGGAAGCAGGCTGCACTGGGCATCTCACACGGAAGGAAAGGATGGGTGTTGAAGCAGGAAAGTCTGTAATTTTTAATGACTGTCAGAGAACTCCCATTTGTTGACTAAAAGCAAGAGTGGTCATTTGCTGAGTTGGGGCACTGAGAGTGATCTGCAGAGTCTGAGACATCTGAATACCGGCCACAGTCTATTCATGGGGGTGGGGAGTGAGGAGAGGCGTGGGGAAGGGTGATAATGGGCAAAAATACCAGCTGTCCTTAGTCTGAATGAAGTCCTGAAGGTTTGGTTCGTGCAAGTTCATGAAACCACCACCACCAAATTATTAACAATTATTATATCCTTATTACAGAGGTTCACAGGATTAGCATACAGTAGGTAGGCATTTGTGTCTATTGATTTCAGCCTTTCCAGAGAAGGACTATTGCCCTTTTACAGCTGAAAAACCTGTTGCTCGAAGAGGTCAGGGCACCTGACCAGGGTCACTGAGGCAAAAACTAAGAAACCTGTGTCCCGTGGCCAAGCCCCTGGCTGGCGTCTGAACCCCAGCTGCAGGGAATTGCATCACTAGCCACCTCCTTAAAGGGTCAGTCAGCATCCAGCAGGGATATCAAGTATCTTCACTCGTTTTTCTTTTCTAAGGAGAAACTATAAAGTGCTTATAAGCAAACACTTCACAAACATGAAGACGCCTGGGTGACCCTGAAATAGATGATAGAGCCAACCTAAGTGCTTAAATTTAACTCCACAACGAAAAATACAAGTTACGCTTTCAGGTTCTTAAAGTAGTGATTTCATCAGAATGAAAATCCCCACTTTTTGTTTGAGGTTCCAAACCGGTTTGCATTATCACTGAGTTATTTCTCAACTCCTTAGCGATCCGTTAATAAAGCGATCCGCGACGCCCTCTCCCCGCCGCCCAGCGCCCCCCGCCCGAGACCATCAGCTCCCGTTCCTCGACGGGGAAAGGAGACCGAAAGGTGCTTACAGTGATTTTGGGGTCTTGTCTCTCCGAAGACTGTTCTGAGCACATAACCGAGTGCACGAACAAGCTGCTAGAAGACGTCTGAGTCTGCTAGGAGACCGTGCCCGGGAGAGCAGCACCCACCGCGGCCGAGCGAGCCGAGCGAGCCGAGCACTCGGCACGTGGACGTGCGGGAGCCGCGCAGGCGCACGAGTTGGGGACGCGAAGGACAACTCGGAAGTGCCCGGAGACAACACGGCGTCGCTGGCGTCGCTGCCCTGAGCGCAGCCGCGGCCGGCTACGGTAGCCCAGAAGGACCACTGCTCTCTTAGGAACGGCAACTCGCGTCTGGTGCCCGATAAGCAAAGCGGGTCGCCAATCAAAACCAGGACAACGTTGCATGGACACCGGAGAGGACAGACATAGGAGGGCACCCCCTGCCGGCCAGAGCGGAATAAACTCCCTGCTGGCCAAAGAGGGAGATAGAGACAGAAGAGCTATGTCATTCATTCGTTTATTCAATCATGAACACCAATAAACGTGTTTATTCTTGAAAATGACCCTGACGCTGCAAGGAAAGCTCTGCTTCCAGAGGGAGACTGGATTCTAAGAGAGAGCTAGTAAGTGCTCAGCACAACTCTGTGCCGTCCTGGAAGGACGTCGCGCCTTAGTATCGTGGACACATGTGCGGCCTCCTGGCAGACACAGCGCGCACAGGCGGCACAGTGCCGACTGGCAGACGAGGAGAGACGGGAGCACGGTTTTTACAGCTGAGGGCAGAGACTGAGCGAGGAGGGGGCGGATTGCGGGGGCGCTGCAGCTGCAGTTCCCTGGGATCTTCACTGGTGTTAGGAGAGGCTGTCCTTCCTTTGGGAGATGAAAATACCTGGAGAATTATTTGAAACAAACACTCCAGTTGTGAGGCTTGTGCTGCCTTTTCCAGGGGTCCCATGCAGTCCACCTGCTACCAGGTGGCTAGCTAGACCCCCAAAGGTGAGGTGAGTGTCCCATGGGTCGTCAAAGTTGGCTCTGGAAGGTTAGGTAGGAGGCAGGAGCCAGTCAAGTCAACCTGATGTAAGTCCATCCGTGAGGATGGAGACACTGGCACAGCCGCCATCCTGTTACTGTAGCCTCTTTGCATGTGTTTTTTGTTTTTGTTTTTTGAGCAAGATTGGGATGCTGGTGACAGGGGCCAACATCCACAGATGACGGAGATACTGAAGGATACGCACATGAAACAAGAAATCCTGATATTCTGTCTCATTACGAACAGCTGGGGGCGGAAATGGAAGATTCAGGAGAGCAAGCTGGGGAGACCCTGTCCCAAGCGATTGGAACTATAGCCTAGCCTGGGGCGCGAAATCCCGGATTCCCGGGTCTGCGGGGCGGGGCGTTCGACCCGGAAGTTACCTCTACCCGGCCCAAAGATGGCGGCCGAGGCGCCGCTCGCCCACAACCCGAAACCTCCCGTAACCAATGGCGCCGCGACGCTGGGTGACTCACCCACGCGACTAGTGCTCGACGTTCTGATGATGCAACCTCCGAGCCAAGGAAGCCTCTGGTGCACATTGGAGTGACAAGGCGGCGGCTTGTTGGAGGCTATGTCCTTGGATGTGACCAGGGCGACCGCAGGGATGGTGCTAGGTGAGTGAGGCTCGGGGACTCGGGGGTGAGCAGGTGCCGCGATGCTTCTGCCTGGGCCAGGAACCTTGTTCAGGCCGAATTCCAGCCCTTAACTCAGTGCCTGGCGGAGTGGACCCTCCTTCCCTTTCTATATCTGAATGATCGGAGGGAGGGAAGGGCAGGGAAGGGCCGGGACCCCGCGGGGCCCTGATCCTCGCTGCCCGGACCCCGGCTCCCCGCGATTCCGGTGTGTCCCAGGGCTGAAATGGCGCCCCCTCCCAGCTCTGCCCCTCTGCGAAAAATCCCGTGATTCAGCTGACACTTAGGCACTGCAAGGCCCTGCCGGACGTGGGGGTAGACTCCAGATCAATCAGTCCCTAAGTGGCCGTCGGAAAAGGACTTGGGAATCCTAATTCATATTGAGATTTCCAGGGAACATCTTTAGGAAACAGGAGTTGATGTCACTGTTCAGGCTTACTAGGTGCGAGGCCTTCTGCAGTCTGTTCAACCTTAGACCTCCCGGTTGTTCCAGGCCAGAGGGAACTAGTACACATTAGCCATGATGACTCGCACCAGGATATCTGACTTGTATGTGTAATTTTATTTCCTCCTCATTATAGCCTTTCAAAATGGTATTGTTTCCCTTATTTATAGAAACAGGCATAAATTCAGTATGGTTAAATGAATGAATTCCCCAGGGTCAACAGCCAGGATTCCAGTCTGGCCTGGCCAACTTTAGAGCGTCTGTTTTATCGTTAGGGACTCACGCAGATAAAAGCTTTGTCACAAATTAAAATAACCCGAGTTCACTCTGAAAAACTAAATTTGTAAGTATCACTTTTTTTTTTTGAGATGGATGTCACTCAAATAGAGTGGTTAGAATCTATAATCTATAATTTCATTTGGACTGTGATAACTTTTATTAATATGATGCTTTTTCTCTTCATCAAGTTAAACACTGGATAAGTAGCTGCAGTGTGAAGTAACTGGTACTTATTGGCCAAGTTATTGACTGATTATATTCTCATTTTGTGAAACAGCAGAGCTATATGTTTCGGATCGAGAGGGAAATGACGCCACAGGTGATGGAACCAAGGAGAAACCTTTTAAAACAGGCTTGAAGGTAGTGTCTTTGTAAGAAGATGACTTTGCATTTGTTAATAACATTTGTCACTTATTATGTGACTCATTTAAGTTTCATGTTAAGCACGAGCACTAGGTTTTGAAGAGAATTTTCAGAAAATGAAAAACAGGACAGTACACACATCACTTTAAACTAAGTGGTACATTTGGGGCCTCCCTGGTGGCACAGGGGGTTCAAATGCAGCACTATGAAGCTGTCTAGAGTCCCTGCAGCACGAGTTCCATCTCCCAGCAGGGAGCTAACCCACATGGCACAGCAGACCTCTCCTGACACGCCCGCTGCTCCCCTCAGCCGTGTGTTTCAGTCGATCTGCCTGTTTTGCTCCCCACTCTGCCTCTAGTGAATCCCCTTACCCACTGTCTGGCCAGTACCCCCATTCTTGTGTGCATAAATAATCTTTTTTTAAAAAAAATAAAGATAAACTAAGTGGTATATTAGATGACAAAAGGCCAGGTTTATATCAGCACACCAGGAATGGACCCATTTCTCAGAGCCAACACTCAGTAACTCATGACTCTAGAACTTGAAGCCAGAATGATCATTTTTCAAGGTATTTCTCTGACCCTTGAATGCTTAAGTAAGTTTAGTGAGCATCCTTGTATGGGAAAGCAGTAGAAGTGTTCTTCCAGAGCAGGGAGCATGAATATTAGTGACTGACTGACTGTATCAGGTCAAGATGTGGGCCACGGTGACCCTCCAGGAAGCCATGGACTTGGTGTTGAACCGTAGTGGCTATAGCTGCCACGGAAGGAAGGTGGTTAAAGCTCCCTCCTTGGAAGTACTAGGAAAAATACCTCTGCTTTATATCTTCCCCTGTATGTATCCATACCATTTGTTGACTATCTTTTTTTTTTTTTAAAGATTTTATTTACTTATATACTTACTTCCTTTTATTTACTTACTTTATATACTTATAAAAGGGGTGTGGGGGGGGGCGGTGAGAGGATTCACCAGAGACAGAGTAGACAGCACAACAGGCAAATATACGGAAACACACTGCTGAGGGGAGCTGTAGGCAGGTCAGGAGATGTCTGCTATGCCATGTGGGTCAGCTCTGGCCAGGGATGGAACTCCCACCACAGTGGCTTACGATAGGTAGCTTAATAGTGCTGAGGGAGGCCCTTTGTTGATTATCTTGTGATACCTGTTGAAGTGGTTAGCGAGCCCTTTTGTCCTGGGTGCATCCTCTCCTTTTTTTGTGATAATATGTGCTTCTTTTCGGTGTGTCATAGGTGGGTCTCCGTTTTTTGCTCTTAGAGGGAAATCTTTCTTTCCTGTCTGGAGAGAGAGTGATTTGTTGCATTTCTCAGTTGAACCTAACTAGGAGAAACTCTGAAGGAACATTTCAAGCAGTTAAATAAAATCCATCTTTTACACATTTCCAACTTTTCTTTTTTTAAGTACAAACTAAAATAATCAATGATTTAGTGAGATCTAACTCATAGTACTGATAAAAAAAAGAGGTACCCTATGTAAGGTAATTTTCAAGTGAAATGAAACATAGACTTTTATATATTTAACCATTATGTGGCTGAGTTTCAAAAATGACTTCCTTGTTGCTTACGGAGGGTTACATGTGTAGATGTGATCTGCAGTTGACTTTTGCTGTTAACTGGCGTTTGCTGTTTGCTGTCTCTTGTCAGCTTAACATCTGTTGCATCTAGTCTGCTTGTACTGGGGACACTGTCTCATAGAATTTGCAAAAACAGTTTGAAGAAGGATCTGAGGGGCTTTAACTTTAAGTGGGGTGCTCTTAGTACTTGCACCAGCCACTCCGTCAACATTGTCTTGTAGCTCTTGGGCTTTCTTCTTGACTCGTCATTATGTTCTCGATGTTATTCATCTAAGTTATGTTTATAATTTATGTGTTCTTTTTTATTTTATTTTATTTTTTTGCCTTCCCCACCCAAGGCTTTGATGACAGCTGGAAAAGAACCATTTCCTACCATTTATGTAGATTCACAAAAAGAAAATGAGGTAAGGTGAGCCAAAAATTTGACAGAATTATAGTTTGCAATGAATTTTCACTAGCAAAGGTCTTGAGAACAATTAAATTTTCGGTTTATGTCTCTAGAGGTGGGATGTTATTTCTAAGTCACAGATGAAGAACATCAAGAAAATGTGGCACAGGGAACAAATGAAGAGCGAATCCCGGGAGAAAAAAGAGGTGAGCCGGGAATTTGCCACCGAACATTTTTGAAACTAAAACACAGGACTCATTATTAACAAACTGCATCTCCTTAAAATTAGGCGGAAGACAATTTGCGAAGAGAAAAGAACCTGGAGGAAGCAAAGAAGATTACCATTAAAAACGACCCAAGTCTCCCTGAGCCAAGCTGCGTAAGTGCCCACGTAGCTTGAGATAACCTGATTTGCCACATCAGAGCATCGTTTTCGTGTCTGAGAGGCAGATGCCGTGTTCCTTTGCAGTGTCTGTCTTGTCCGTCAGAAGGGATAAAAACAAATGTTTCAGGGTGATGAGGCTGCTTTTTCTGGGCTCCTTCACTATAAAGTTCAATAATTGTGATTTGAACCAGTTCTGTCCCACCTCAAATCCTGTGACTGCTGCGTACTGTTCCTTGCGTGACTTACCTCATGACCAGGGGCCTCACTTTTGAAGAGATCAAAAGTCATGGTGTGATTTTTAAACCAGAAAAAAATTTTTATGATTTTATAAAATTGAAGTCATTCTATGTTCTTTCTAGAAGGGAATACTGGACTGTGAGTGGACATGGTTAGATTTCAACTAGTGCTTATTGTCAACGTTCTATTTTTCCTGCTTCTTCAGTGAAGCTGTTTTCTCGGCCACGTGCCACAACCCTTCTTTTGCTCATCTCCACTCTTCATCCCCCAGACAAAACCTGCCTGTGTTGACTCCACCTTCCAGTGTGGGAGGATGCAGGAGGTGAGGGAAAGGCGAATGCGTGGAGTTGGGTTATTCTAGAGTGACATCACTCATTCATTGATTTTATGAGGCAGTATCTGAAAATCTGGGCTTTTCTCACTGCTGTTGTTGAACCAAGAAAAAGAAGACTTGGGTATTTTTGGTTCTAATAGTTCTAGTGTGATGAAACTCTGGTTCTCATCTGCAATAGAATGAATGGCTGCATTTTCCTTTTTTGCACCATTTGGGAATTTTCAACACATCTCTGCACTCCAGCTAATATTACTGAAAAGGTTTGTATGTCCTAAGTGATAGGATTGATCAAATGTTATTTATTTTAACTGGACAGGTGAAAATTAACGCATTAGAGGGATATAGAGGCCAGAGAGTAAAGGTGTTTGGCTGGGTGCACAGGCTGCGCAGACAAGGTAAATGGCACAACTTTTCTTCTCTCTTCTTTTAATTTTAAATATTCCTCGTCGTGGATGAAGAGTGTATAAAATCACTTTTGTTATTTGGATGCTGACTTTTTAAAGGAAATGGTGATTTATATCTTAAATGTACACTTACTTAATATAACTATTAAAGTCTAATCATTTAAATGCAGTTTAATTGGAAGTAGCCACAGAGAGAAGGAGGTATCCAGTAAACACCTGTGTAACTGACTTCAAGTCGTTATGAAAAGCAGAGGGTGTTATAGGAAGGACAGCATCAAGTCTGAAGCTGACTTTTCACAGGAATGTTGATTTTTATAATTAGTCTGTTTGCTTCCTGCTTCTCCCTCAATTCTGACCTTTTGCTTTCTCTTGTTTAAAATGTTGATTCTTTTATTACACCTGTTTTGTTGTAAGTAGTTATCAAGTCCTTTGTTGATAAGTGAGGGGGGTTGGAGTCACAAATAAGAAGGTTAATTCTGTGCAACAATATTAGGTATTGGGAACACTCAACTATTTTTCCATATAAGTCAGTAGCAATAGTATTCCCAACATAAAAGATAACCTACCACATGATACCAAACAGCAAGGTTCTATGTTCAAACAACAGGGGTTGGTAGGGAAACAGGCCTGCACCTCGCTAGCCACAGCAGGGCCTCCAGCAGAGATGATGCCCCCCTCAGCTCACATTGCTTACCGTCTCGCTGTCCCCAAATCGTGTGGCTCCTGAGGGCCCTGAAGGACTCGAAAAATGCGGTGAAGAGAGAATGCTGTGCAGATGCGGGGCAGTGATGTCACTGGCATGCAGGAAGGGGACCATGTGGGAGGCTTGAACTTGAGCCGTTTAATTTTGGAGTCTCCATGAAATGAGATTAAATTTTGAGACAATCCTAAGTGCCTTGAAAACAGACTTGGCTGACTGTTTCTTTCTCATTTTTAGGAAAGAATTTGATGTTTCTGGTGTTGCGGGATGGGACAGGTTATCTTCAGTGTGTCTTGTCAGATGAGCTGGTAAATATTTTCTTTTCTTTGTGACTTATTTATAATTTTATGAAGAGGTTTTTTTTTTTTTTTTCAGTAGGTTCCTTTATCATTGGTCTTGGGATTTCTAGGATCTGTGTACATATTGTAAACTAGTTTTGTGAGCGAGGCCCAGCACATAGAAATCAGAGCAAGAGCGAACCCTCACGAGCCCACCACCAGGCTTTAATGTCTCAGCCAGCGTGGGCATCGGTTGCAAAGCAGCATAGGTTGGAGGGCTTCTGAGCAACAGAAACGTAAACTTTACTCCTCAACATTCTGGAGACTGGACGCATAAGGTCAGACAGCTGGCATCGCCAAGTTCTGGTGAGCTTGCCTGTTATGTCCTTATGAAGCAGAGAACAGAGTGGGGGAGCAGGCTCTTATAGGGCCCTATTCCCACTCTTGAGGGCTCTCTGCCTTCCCCCCCAACTAATCCTAACTACCTCCCAGAGCCCCCACCTCCTAAAGCCATCACAGCATAGCAGTAGGGTTTTACCACGTGAATGTGAGGGAGCCATGGGGACACAGACCTGAGTAGCCGCTAATATGTGGTCAGTTCTGGCTTATAGGTTCCCTTTCTGCCCTCCAGAGGTCATCCCATTTCTTGTTCTGCATCTGCAAAAAAAAAAAAATGCTTTTTCTAAAAAAAAAAGGTTTTATATCTTGGCATAACTTGTTCATGGACAAAGAAAAATGAATTGTTGTCCAGATATTTTTTAAAGCAGTGTGAGCTGGTGTCAGTTATGGTGTGTATGTATATAAAGTATATACTTACTCATCTACATGCATCCATAGGTAGATAAACCTTCCACAAAAATAGCTGTTCTTTGTTAATATTAAAAAATGAGGCATCAATGAACAACAATGTAAATAGATATATAAATTAATAAATGTAAAAAATTGATGCATCACCTTATTTTGGTAGTGATCCCTTAGCTTTCTGGCCATTAGGATATTGTAATGTAAAGGTGAATAACTAACTCTGAACTTGGGTCTCGTGCAGTGTCAGTGTTACAATGGAGTCCTCTTGTCCACTGAGAGCAGTGTTGCGGTGTACGGCATGCTGAATCTTACCCCAAAGGGCAAGCAGGTGAGAGGCTCGAGTTCCTCACTGAGTAAATAGGTATTTGTTTTCCTGGGCTTGTATTCATACTTTTGGCATTTAGCATGTAGCTATACAAAGGTGATGAACGTCCTACATTTTGCGTGCCTCTTCCTTTTTCAGTGAACTCTGTACACTGTTGTACTTCCAAACTTAACTGTTTCTGTAAATGAATGACAAATCAATAAAATTTTGAAGAAATAAAAAGAAAGTCAAACAGAAATGTGCAACACGCATGATGTACCCAGCTCGGGAATTCCCCGCCAGCCTCACAGACCATGGTATCTCCTTTCTGAAGTGAGCGTGTGAGTCATTGTTCAGATAGATGGAAATATAAACAGCCTCCCCACACAATTCCAGAAAGAGCAATCTAAATCTGAAAGTTTTGGAACTAAAATTAAAACTTTAACTATAACTCTATTTTCAGATTTGTTTGTACTCCAGCCATCAGGCACATCATCAGTGCCTCCCTGTTCTCACTACCTGTTGCTGATCCTCAGTGACTTATATTTGTTAGCTGAAGCATCCTCCCTGGTGGTGCAAGGGGTTAAAGCACAGCACTGTGATGCTCCCTGCAGCTACTTAGCACAAGTTGATCCCCAGGCCCCAAGGCGACCTACCTCCCTGCCAATGGCGATGGTGATGGCGCGGCAAACCTCTCCTGACCCACCCGCTGCTCCCCTCAGCAGTGTGTTTAAGTGGATCTGCCTGTTCTACTCCCCACTCTGTCTCTAGTGGGTCCTCTCACCCCCTGCCCAGCACCTCTGGCCTGTACCCCAGTTGTGTGCATAAATAAGTCAATCTTTAAAATATATGTGTATATATGTTAGCTGGAAAAGAAAACAAACAAATGTGACATGTTAACCACCAGAGGGAGCCCCCAGAGTTTGCCTAGCTTGGAAATACTGATGGCGTCTCCCACAGCTCCTGTAAAGAACCTCTGTTACAATGACTATCTGATTCTAACTCGGGCTCATTAGGTTTTTCTTGGGAGTAATGAGATTGCAGAGTGGAGCGGGTGTCATACTGTAACTGGCTGTGCAGTGCTCAGCCCCCTGTAACTATTCTATGATATGTAGCTTCGAAAAAGGATCGCTTTTAATGGAATCATTGGAAGGAATTTGAGTTTCTACTAAAATTGTTTTCCCAAAGAGAAGCAGCTTTTAGTAAAACCTTTGCACTAAAAGGGTATTCTATTTTCTTTTAACTTACTGGACAAAGGGTAGCAACATACAACAAAAAAAATCATTTGTAGTAAGAATTATAGGATGCTCAAGTTACAGGGTGCTCATTTGTTTTATTCTCTAGTTTGCCCTTTTCTAGTTTTTTTTTTTTAAGTATGTGTATGTATGTGTTTTCTCTGAAATTTTAAATATAAAAATATCAATATAAACTTGAACTCTTTGTAGAAGGGCATGCTAACGGCGGTGAGGGTCTTAGAAAGGCCAAAGATGTTGACGTAAATGAAAACCTCGAGTGACGTCCATTTTCTGTTTTTCTCGCCCCATCCCCTTTCTGATAATTCAGGCTCCGGGGGGCCATGAGCTGAGTTGTGACTTCTGGGAGCTGATGGGCTTGGCCCCTGCGGGCGGGGCAGATAACCTGATCAATGAAGAGTCCGACGTGGACGTGCAGCTCAACAACAGACACATGATGATCCGAGGAGAAAACATGTCCAAGATCCTGAAAGCACGTTCCGTGGTCACCAGGTGCTTTCGAGATCACTTCTTCGACCGGGGGTACTGCGAGGTAGGCGCCCATTTGCCGCCTTCGCGAAGGAACCTCCGCCTCCCCTCCCGGGCGGATGTGCCTTCACGGGCTTGTCCTCAATTCTCTCTGTTTGGACAGGTCACTCCTCCAACGTTAGTGCAGACACAGGTGGAAGGCGGCGCTACACTCTTCAAGCTGGACTATTTCGGGGAAGAGGCGTTTCTGACTCAGTCCTCTCAGCTGTACCTGGAGACCTGCCTCCCAGCCCTGGGAGACGTTTTCTGTATCGCACAGTCCTACCGTGCAGAACAGTCCAGAACACGAAGGCACCTGGCTGAGTATGGGATTGTCTTTTTATCTTAAAGATGTTTTTGGATTCAGCAGGTTAAATAGGTTTAGAGAAGCAATCCTTATATAGGCAAGTGATGTCAATGTCAAAATTTTTGATATGTTAAGCTACATGAAGAGCAGTTGAATAAATATTTGGAAGCCGCGAGTAGTTAGGCCTCTGGCCACAGCTACCCAAGGTCTGTGCACTGTGTTTGCCTTGACTCTGAGTTCAGGGATAAATAAGAAACCACTATCCACGGTACAGAGGCAGGCGGTTGTGTCAGGCTAGTTTGCATGGCTGGGGCTTGACCAGCAGGTTAGAATGTCCCTTTTCTGGACACTGCCTCGGCGTTTTAATCCCTGCTCATGAGCGGCCTAATTACACGAACTGCAGCTCTGACCCAGCGCCGCTTGCCTCAGGTACACTCACGTGGAAGCTGAGTGCCCTTTCCTGACCTTCGAGGACCTCCTGAACCGACTGGAGGACTTGGTTTGCGACGTGGTGGATCGGGTCCTGAAGTCGCCCGTGGCAAGCATCGTGTATGACCTCAACCCGGTAGGTGCGGTGGTCGGCTGAGGCGCTTTGGGCTTGGGGAGGAGGCCCAGCTGTCGTGTGCAGAGCAACGGCGTCTTTGCCCTCGGCTTCTGTAGATGTAATGGCTCTGTGAGCTTTGAATTAATTTTGAAGACTAAAATTTAGGGTATTAGACAGCACCAGTAAATCATGTTTTAACTGCTATAGCAGGAGCTTCATCCGTTTCCCATTTGGGGGCATGTCTGCATTGTTTTCTGGTCTGAAACAATAATTTATGGCAAAATTGTTTATCTTAAAATGGAAAGGTTAATGTTAGCATTTCTTTACATACACTTTGCTGTAGAACTTCAAGCCCCCCAAACGGCCTTTCAAGCGAATGAACTATTCAGATGCGATTGTGTGGCTGAAAGAACACAATATTAAGAAAGAAGATGGAACTTTCTATGAATTCGGAGAGGTACGCAGCCTTCCCAGTGCCCGCCTCAGCGGTGCCGCCGTGCAGGACAGCCACTCCTGCGTCGCGGGCCCGCGCGCCGGAGGCTTGTGCTTGTCGTCAGGTAAAGGTAGTAACAGCGCCTCTGGGCGAGTCTGCGGTCACCGAGCTAGCCGCTGCCCAGCAAGCCTTGGACCAGCACCTCGTCCCAGTGGCCATAATCACCAGCAAATGTTCAGGCTGCCCTCACGTCTCCTCCTTTGACACTTGTTTATTTCCCATGAGCAGCCTGTGATCTCGATTTAAAAAACTTGTCCTTCTCTCAGCTGGAGGATGCTTCCGACAGTTATGAATTCAAATTACATATTGATGTGGTTAGATATTTGTTCAGTTTTTTTCTGGAGAAAGTATCTAATGCTTTCAGAAAAGCTCTCCTCACGTGGAGGAGATTCAAAGAGGAAAACGGCCACTGGTGAGAGTACAGAGCCCAGGGAAGGGCGTGATGGGGAGGGCGGCCAGGTGCCCCAGACGAGCTGAGCCTGTCCGTTTTGCTGCGACCACCCCCTGGCGTGGCCTGGAGTACAGGGTGTCCACAGTCCCAGGGTTCTCGCTGCACATCTAGCCACCCCTTATGAGATCTTCCCAGCTCTGTTACTGTGAAAGGAATCTCTGCTACATGAGTTTTAATTTTAGAAGGAATGTGCCGAGGACAGTATACTAGGTCTTTATAGATTACTCTTAATCAATTTTGAATTCAATTTAAGATGTATGATAATAAAATTTGGTGCTGCAAACTTGAGAACAACTATCACGTAATATTTACCAAAGCAGAATGACTGAGTTTAAAGAACACAAGCTTTGGAGTATGAAGCCTAGCTCCCACCTCTTACTGCTCTCTAACTGTGAACCTCTCTCTGGTTCCTAACCTCTACCTCAGAGGTGCCGTCCACTCTGCGAGGTGGTAGGCCTAGGTGAGCTAAGTGCCTGGCAGGGCCGGGGGCCGGGAAACCCTCCATTCACTCCTTACCTTAAGCACATCAAATCTTGTGCAGTTCTTGTCATCAATTTTTTTTACCGGGACAGGAGTTTTCTGTTTTAACTAGGATTTGTGTGTGTGTGTTACTGAAGCATGTTTGAGGAGAAAAATGGGTTAACTTGATACATCATCCTCATTATCTAACATATCTTGGCTATCACAGGTTGGTTACACTATAAATTTGACATTGGGTTTTTAGCGATGGCTGTGTTCTTCCGCCACACAGAAGGTGTACTGGTGCTGGTGTATTGTAACAGGATAGACGCGCAGCTAACAGGAGAGTGTAAGCATTAGTGTTGTAACTAACATACTCAGCATGTACGTCATGTTCCGGAGCCTTCGCCGAGTATTTGAGGCCTTGTGGGACTAACGTGGGCCATGTTTGCTTCAGAGCTAGAGAAAACTGGCCACTGAAAAACCTAACAGTATCTAGTCACATGGATAATGACTAGGGCTTCATTTTGTTTTTCTCATCAAGCAGCACCGTACTTAATGACTCACTACAGAGAAAGGCAGAGCCTTTACAGTTCCTCCTATAGCTGTGACTTTTTACGTCTGTTTATGTATTAAGGAAATTGCCTGTGTGTCGGGATGCTGGGGGTGGGGTGTGAACTCTACGATGTTCCTGTTATAGGAGGAAAGGCTGCAAGAGCTGCTTCTGTCTCGTTGCATTTCGAGTGTAAATGTTAATGAAGTCTTGTTTAACCTCAGGATATCCCAGAAGCTCCTGAGAGACTGATGACAGACACCATTAATGAGCCAATCTTGCTGTGTCGATTTCCCGTGGAGATCAAGTCCTTCTACATGCAGCGATGTCCTGAGGATTCCCGCCTGACTGAATCTGTCAGTTTGTGATTCCAGTAGTATTCATGACTCTGATTCTAAGGGGGTGGGGATTGTCACTGGAATAAGAGCTCATGGCAAACACTTGATTATAAATCAAATGACATTATTTAAGGAAGTGTTCTTTTCTTCCCTTAATTAGGTTTATCTTACTTTGTTCAATTGCAGAATTTGAGTATTTGAATCATGTAGGGTCATAGCACCTCTTTATATTTGGGGATTTTCATTTAAACTCGAGAGCAGTGCTGGGTCTCATGGCCTGGTGGTGACTGCATTTTATTTTCTGCTTGTTTTTGAAGGTTGACGTGTTGATGCCCAATGTTGGCGAGATCGTGGGGGGCTCAATGCGTATCTGGGATAGTGAAGAAATACTGGCCGGTTATAAAAGGGAAGGAATTGACCCCACTCCCTATTACTGGTATACAGATCAGGTAAAAGTAGATTTTTTTTAATGCTCTTTGGATTTTTTTTCATTGTGATATTTCTACATAAACTGAACTATTTCAAAAAAGAGATTTTGAGGTGATATTTTGGTATTTGAAAGAGCTGTATTCATTTTCTTGGTTATAACACCGTGGCACGTGACTTAAGCTAGTTTTGTCTTTTTCCAGCTTCTCTGTTAACTGCATCTGAAAATCTATTTAACTGCTGTCCTTGTTCAAAGAGACACTGCTTTAGTGCAAAAGTTTGAAACCCCCTCTTTCTAGGTTGGGACTGGATCTCTGACTTCTTGGCCTTCCTCATACCCACATTTCTTGGCATGTGGTCCACGAAAGTGTACAGTTTAAAGTTGAATACTTAACCACAATGTGCTGCCTTGTTTTACTATACAAAAATTTAACTATATGGATTTTTAGAACTAAGTATTTATTCCTCTCTCTTTCTTAACAGAGAAAATACGGCACATGTCCTCATGGAGGGTATGGCTTGGGCTTGGAACGATTCTTGACCTGGATTCTGAATCGGTATCACATCCGAGACGTGTGCCTGTATCCTCGATTTGTGCAGCGCTGCAAGCCATAACCAGCTCCCCCTGAAGTGACAATGGAAAATAAATACAAGAACGGGACAGACTGCTTCTTTATAAGAAACAAAAAGCCAAAATCTTCCCATTTGTATTCCCTCGCAGTGTATCTGTTTTTGCTTCCTATTCCTACTACCACAAAAAGTAATCAGAATGACTTGGAATAGCAAGTGATAGTGATGGTAATCGTTTTTAGAAAAAAAATATTCACTACAAAGTTTGGGGTTCCCTGACACTGATAAATACATTTCAGCATTTTCTCCAAATACTGGTTTGATTTTTGTGCCATGTGTATGCCATATATAATTAAACAGTTTGAATTACGATCTAAGACATTCCAGTAACTTCATCTTCTCTCCTTATGCGTGTAACTGGAAATCTTTTAATTTATAACACTTAATTGTATCAGTGAGTTAACACAAACCTCTTGGAGGGAAAATGACAATATCATGTAAAAACCTGCTAGGATTAGAACAGATATAATTCACATGAATACAGTCTTTTGCATCCATTATTAGTCTTTTCTAAGTCTTCATAGCTGCTTATAAGTCTTGGGCATACACATTGATGTGAAAGAATTAGTGAAACTGGAATGGCCTTACTTTGAAATGAGAGCATCTGGTGGGTGGGCATTTTGATGAACAGCATCCTTCCAGGCATTAGTTTAAGCTAAAGAGGCAGACTGATCTTCTCTCTTTCCTTGTAGCTTCTAAGTAATTAAGAATAAATAAGTTCCAGAAGATTTGCAGCTGGAATCTTAATGGCAACTGTAAGTGACTACTGGACTCATCTGCACTGTGTCCTCAGATCTAATCTCTGCTACCTTATTAACTCTGCAGGCTTACTGAATGACTTCATTTAAGATTTGGTTAATTTCCCCCAAAAATGCATGTCATGTATTCTCAATAGGCTGTATTCCCAGCAATCAATAAATGGACACACTCAAAATTCCTTGCTGGCTTAATTTTTTTAAAGCTGAACAACTCTTTCTCATGGATGTCTTTTTTTTTTATTTTTCATGATGTGTATACATGTAAAATTAGGTATTACTAAAACTACATGGTGATGAAGAGGAGTGATTAATTAAATGTGGGGGCTAATTACATCTCTTTTTGAATTTTTTGGAACACATTTGATTTTACCCTACTTTGCAGTTAAGGGAATTGACAGGTAAAAAATGGGGCATTTACCATATATCTGGTTTGGAAGAATGTGAACCAGTTCTAATTGGATTCAGCCAGGCAATTTATTTGATCAGAAGTTAGGTGATTTGGTCAGAATCATTTAGCCTAAATTTTAATTGTGTTAATGGGTTTAGAGTTTTAAATGTTGAGGGAGAAACTTGGGATGAGATTTGGATAAGGGAGTCAAGGTCATGGTCAAAACACTGAGCATCGGAGCTACACTGTGAGCATCTGAGTGGCACTGTGTGGGTGCTGTGATCCAGTGGTCAGCCCCACCCCAACAACCTCCAGGCCCTGCTGGTGCACAGCTGGCCCTGCAAGCTGTTCCTTGTTCTTGTGAGATGCACTGGAGTCTCCTCTCACAACTCTCCTCCCTGAAGTTCATTCTCATACCATCAACTCTCCTCGCCTTCAGAACTAGTGTAGCAGACCCACCCAACGTTCTGGAGACTGAAGGGAAGCTTCTATCAGGATTCAGATGAGGTATGCATACCTTATCTTAAATGTCCAGCCATTTTTGGTGACCCCCTCCAGGAACCAAACCTCCTAAGCCCCTGGGTGGGTGGGGCCCGTTGCCCCTTGCCCTGGGGGGTTTAGGCAGGCTGACTAGGCTTTAACATACTTTCAAGCCGTCTCATCCTAGCATCTCATTCCCACTGTGGTCACCCATCTAGCTCTGCCTTGTGAATCTGGATGGTTCTCGGCTTAAATAGCTAGTTTAGGATTCAGCCTTCCTGGATCTTTTAAATCATCAACCAGTTACCATCTGTCTTCCCTCTTGCAAAATTAAATTGCTGTGGCTCTTCCCCACCCTTTTTTTCCTCATCCTTTTAGGTTCTTGAAGAAAATAAAACATCACAACCTATAAACTCTCCGTTGATATTTCAGTGGGATTTAGGGAAGATGTAAAATTACATCCATGTGTTCAATCTCCCTTTTTTACTCAGACGTCTTTATTTGAAGACAAAAGGAAACGGGACTAAGCAAAAGGAAATAGAAATGTTCAGCTATCAGTTGTTATGAAAGACAAATAAGCAAGAAGAATGGGAAATTCCAGTTTGTAACCAAAAAAAATGAATGGTCAGTTTCAACCCTGTTTCTACCTGATCCACCACCAGAACATCCTGTAACAGTTGTACCTGTTTGTCCTTCCCACAATGGACAAACAAAACATTACATAACTTCAGATAAAACCAAAATAGTTCCTGTAGGATAATTACCTGCCTGTCCTTAATGCAAAATTAAACTCTCAGGTAAAAACAATATGAAAACAATAATAATTTTAAAAAGCACAGTTATCTCTGGCTCACGCCAGCTGTCCTGGTAACTCAAGTGTCTCTTTTGGGTGACACTAAGGCTGTAAACCTCAGGGTCCCTGGTCCCTCTGATCCACAGTGCCAGTAACTTCCCACTGCTGCCTCTTCCTTCCCTTCCCATAGCCGCACCCCTCAACTCTCAGCTAGCTGTGACCTTTGTCTCCCGCCGCCTCCCTGCCTCTTAACACACCACAGCTGCTTGCTCCACCATTTTCCTCAGAGGCTCATCAGCGACCACCCTGTGTGGTGGCACTGGCCTTGGTTATCTTGTGCTCTTCTCCATGGTGTCCCCCACGTTCAGCTTATTGCGCTCCTACGGTGACAGGGTGGTCCCCAGGAAAAGGGCAAATTCCAGGTTCCCTGCCCCACCCAGAAGGAGGGTGGAGCTGAGTGGAGAAAGGAATCTGGAGAGGAGCCTGAGGAAGAAGGAAGCAGCATGGAGAGCCTGAAGGAGGCACAAGGAGCAGACACGTGTGAAGAAAGTACGCTTGTTTCTTGGCCCTGGACTGGCTGAAGCAGATGTGGGTGAGAAACCCGAGGGGAGGTGAATATGGCAGCTTTTATCTTAATTTTGACTTTGCTCTTTCCCTCCCAGACTGGTCTGGCCATGTGTGACCCTTTTCTATGGGTCCCGGCCAGAAGGTGCTTTAGACTTGTGGCAGCTTTCAGGCCTTGCTCTGGGCCCATCCCTTTTGGGAGGACTTTTACCCATGAGGGGATGGGTGACTTTGGGGGTTTGATTTAGAAACTCTATTCCTTGTCTTTTCTGTATTGCACACTGATTGTATTAAAGTCCCTTTCCATTAAAACTCTTTTGTCTTGATGCGGTGGATGACAGAACCTATTTAGAGCAGGCAGGTTTCGGGGTTCAGTGGTGCCCCTCTCTCCCTGCTCTGGAACACTACCAGGAAGTGCTGACAGCACCTTGCTGAAAAAACACTCCATTATCAGCTCAGCTTGAAATCGTCATATTTCAATTTTTAAATTTTTGATGCGTGTCCACTGTGGCGACACCAATTTACATTCTATCAACAGTGATTAGGGTCCCCTTCTCTCCACATCCTCTCCAGCACATGCGGCTTATATTTTGGAAAAATGGCCATTCTCACGCGTGTGAGGTGATATCATTTCATTTTCACTCCTCTCATCAGAGACGAACTGGTTTTCCTAAGCCACTGACCGTCTGAATCTCTCTTGGAGAAGTGTCTTTTCAGATCCTTTGCCCATTTTCTGACTGGATGTTTATTGCTGAGTTTTATGAATTCTTATTTTCGACATTAACTCCTTGTTGGATATAAGACATGCAGTAGGAGTTCTTTTCATTTTGATGCAAGTGTCTTTTGCTGTATGGATTTTTAGTTTGTTGTAACCTCATTTATTATTACGTATGATTCCCCCGCCATTGGAGCGGTCAAGGCACAACTTTCTACTTCCCCCACACACTACTGAAGCTACACGGCGCCTTTGCATTTGCTCAGTACCCTGGTGATGGGCTGAATTGTGTCTCTCCAAAAGATCCATTGGAATCTTAACCTCAGTATCTATAAATACGAACTTATTGGGTGTGTGCAGATGTAACAGTTAGATGAGGCCAGAAGAGGTGGGGCCCTCATCCAGTGTGACTGGTGTCCTTATCAGAGGGGGAGTGGTGGGGACAGTGCCATGGGACAGAGACTGAAGTGGTGCAGCTGCAGGCCAGGGACTGCAGGGACTGCTGGCCACCCCCAGAGGCTAAGAGGATGCAGGGATTCTTCCCTGGACCTTACTGTTTCCTGACTTGGGCTGCTAGCTGCAGAACTAGAAGGCTATCCACTTCTGTTGTTTTGGCCACTTAATTGTGAGACCTTGTTTCAGCAGAAAGGAAAGGAGCGAACCTCCAGCCCTTGCCTCCCTGACTCTCCCCCCCCCCTGTGCAGACGCCCCTTTCCCTAGGCCCCATCCAACTGCCCCCCAGAAGTCCGTACCTCCTGCCTCCGCACTCCTGGCCTCTGATTTATCTTCATGGTCCTAACCACACCTGACATTGCATCGCCTATCTTTTGTCTGTCGCCTGCCTTGCCCTCCCGAATGTAAGTTCCATGAAAGCAGAGGCATTACAGTCCATTACTGTATGCCCAGTGTCTCCCGTGAACGTGGCGTAGGTAGATGGTCCACACATGTTTCATATGTGAGCGAGCTACTTGAGAACAGGGTTTGCTTTGAACCTTTGCACCCTTGACATTGCCTGAGACAAAGTTTTGCTCATAGTGGGTGTCTAGCAGTAAACACATACAACAGAATTAACCCTTGTACCTGGACAAAAGTCACATACACAATAGTCCATCATCACGAGCTGACTTGGTTAAGAGGGGAAGTCAAAATGCACATCCCATTGGCCTCCATGCTGTGACTTCTTTGCTATAAAACTATTGTGGGGACAATGGATCCCGTTTCTCTGAGTAATAGTTTTAACTTACCATCTGTCTGCTTCACACGGCCACGGTTTCTTTGCGCGCAGCACCGCACGCCTGCACGTCCTGTTGTTTTTTCTGAATAAGGACACAGAATTGAGAAATCGAAATTTAGTTTCTGTAGCTCAGAGGTGCCAATCATGGCCAATAATGAATTGGAGCACCGTCCCCACCCCCCCTCTGAAGCATTGAACTGAAACCAACAAATTCATCTCACGGAGGACCACAGGTTGACCTCAGCACTGTCTGTGACAGGAGAGAACTTTCTTCACTAATTAAGTTACCCAGGCTCAGACAAGGCCTCTCCAGCGTGGTGGGGAGCCGTCTCTGAGCCAGTCCAGAGACTCTCTTTGGCCTTCTGCTGGCTAAGGGAATTGGTATAAAACTTGGTGACGAATATGTAAGCCAGGGGGATAAAAAGCATTGTCTATACATATAGAGTTATATATATCATACAGTTTTGCAGATTTCTTTAACCTTCCAATTGTCTGTGTGTCTTAGTAAATCTGTTTGAAGTTCACAATTTCTGAGTTAAGACTGTTTTCAAAAAAAAAAGAAGAAAACAAAACAAAAAGGACTGCTTTCTATCAGTTTTGTAAAGGACCCATATAAAGCACATTTTATGTTTTCACTCATAAGAACATATATACTCTCTAATGTCTGATGTTTGTAAGAAATGGCCATAGATTGAAATAGTGATGGCTAAGATACTCTGTTGGGGGGAAATCTGGTTTTGTTTTCATTAATAACCTTTGAATCTTACTATGAACACAGGAGGTTTTACAAGGAGGAATTTTTTTTTTTGAATGAATTTTTTAAAAGTCAGTAAAAGTGAAACTACGAGAAGCGAATAAAATCAATGAAATGGTGGTAATTTGTTTTTTTAAAGGCTACGATGTTGGTATATTTAATAAAGCGGTTTGCTGGTTTCTTCCTCCCTCCGCAGTGCTCACATTTAACCTCTCCCACTGTTAATTGAGATTTGGCTTGTTTAATGCTTCATCACTGCTGTTTCCCTGTGAGGAGCCAGAGCCCCCTGTTATCTCCACCTGGCAGAGGGGCTTGGCACCCAGAATGGAGGGGTGTCTTATCTGGGACTCTCCCAGAAGAAGCTGAGAAGAGCCCCACAGCTAAAATGTTGAAAAACCCTTGGCCTTTCTAATCTCCGGGCTGGTTGAAATTCTCCCCAGCTCAGCATTTCAAAACAGGAGACTTTTTTCCCCTGGTAGTTTATTTAAAAGAAATGAATTTAGGCTTTAGGTGGAAGTAGATTATCTTAAAAAAATCAGTTCTTTAAAGGGCAACTTAAAACTAGTAGAAATTTTGTTTAGGTGAATTGAACGTTAGCAAAATGGGGCCCACTGGAATGGCATGACGAGTTTTAAAGCACAGCACTAAGAAGAGAGCCACAGCCACTTCTGCATGAGCTCCATCTCCAGCCAGAGCTGACCCACATGGCGCAGCAGACCTCTCCTGTCTCCCCTCAGAGGTGTATCTCAGTCAATCTGCCTGTTCTGCTCTCGGCTCTGATGAATCCCCTCGCTGCCCCTTCCCCTCGGGCCTCTACCCCAGCTCTGTGTGCAGAAATAAATCTTAAAAAAAAAAAAAAGGAAAGCAAAATGTTTGGGAAAGCTGTCTGACACTTGGAGCACCGTGCCTGCCTTTTCTCGGGGGATGGTTCCTACTTGGACTTGAAGATCATGTAGGTAACATGAAAGAAATCCATTTAATCTGACATTTTGCCGTGGGCTGGTAGTCATCAGGACTAAAAAACAAGCTAATTCAATCAGGAGCATACATTTGAGCTACAGAAAGCTGATTTTCAATTCCATCTAGACTCCCAGAATGTTCCATAGGGTTTGTCGCCTTACACCATCCAGGTCTATGTCAAATGCCAGCTGTCAGGGACAACAACTTGGTCTTAACTATTCAGTCGTAACTGAATTAGACTGCAACCCGCCCCTTCCTACCTCGTCCTTTCTTGCTTGTCTTTTGGAGGTCATCATCACCCCAAATACTCCATTTTTCTGTCCTTCCCTAACCCGCGTCTAAGTCCCTTGTCTGCTGTGTTCATTGCTGTTTTTCCTGCAGGTGTTTCAGTGAATGAACGAAGCGGCGTCCTGTTCCCAGGTGTGTGTGTGTGGAGAAGTGGTAAGGCAGGAGGGAAAAGCGGGAGACGCCTGTCCGTGCGTGCTGGGCACTGCTGTCCTGCCAAGGTGCGCAATGCCGCGCTGACAAACCGCACCCCTCGGAAAGAACTATCTGCAGCCCCGGTCTGCCCAGGCTATTACACTGGCAGCATAATGTTTGCTTTCTGGTCCCACCTGTCAAACACTGCTCCATAAAGATGCCACAGAGCAACTGAACAATTATGTCGGAGTGTGTAATACAATTCCTTTTTCTCTTCTGGAAAAAAAGTGACACGAAACAGGGTCACACGGCTGTGCTGTCACTAGGCAAGCAGCCTGGAGAGCTGAGACAACAACCCCCTAACTAAGTTATAGAAATGGAAAGGTCCAGAGAGTTCTTCGTTGAGTGGTGGCTGCAGTTCCTGCCTTGGCCAGGTTGGTCCAGGCCACCAATCAGGGCATTCGCCCTGCGCGATCAGAAGTCGAAATGGTCTTCAGGGCGCCAGCCCGGGGGTGGGCTGGGGTGGACGCGCGGGAGAGCCGCGGGCCCCGCGCACCCGCTGGCCGCGGGGACCCGGGCGGTGAGGGGGCCCGGGAGTGGGGTGTGCGTCTCCGCTGGCCCCGCCCCCGAGGCCCGGCCCGGCCCGGCAGCGAATGGGCGCCCGCGCTGGGAGGGCGCACGGGGGTGGCCGCGTGAGATAGGGCGGCCTGGGGTGGGGGCGCCCCGGGGCTGGGCGCTGGCGGGGCCCAGGTCTCAACGCTCCACCGAAGCAGCGCCCGGATTCCGGGCCGAGGCTGCCCGGGAATGCTTTCAGTCGGCACAAACATGGCTGCAGCCTTGCGACCTGCGGCCGCCCGGCTCCGCGATCGGCGTAAGTGGGGATCGCGCGGGCGCCGCCGAACCCCGACTGTCGGCGGCGGCGGGGCCGCCGGGGAGCTCGCGCCTCCGTCCGCCGACCGGGGGATCCCGAGGGCGGCGGGGGACCGCGAGCACTCGCGAGGGGCGTCGAGGAGGAGGGACCGGAAGGGTGCCCTCTCGTGGGAGGAGCGAGGGGAGGTGCCTGGGGCGCCCGCGTACCCCCGGAGGGCGCCGGCGTCCCTCGGTCGGCCGGGTGGCGGTGAGCCTGGCCGGCTTTCTGAGGCGGGATCGTCCTCTGTAAAGTCAGCGGTGACGGCCGCAGGGTCCGTGCGGCGTCTCGGGAGGGGACGCAATGTTAGGAGCCGGCCGCGAAAAGGCCGCCGCGAGGGCGCTCCGCGCCGGTCCCCGGCGCGGGCATCTGCTGTGGGTGTCTGCGCGGCGAGACCCTCCGCGGGGCTGCCGGCATGTGTCCTCCAGGACGCGGGGAACGAGGCCCTTGGACAGCCCCGCACCCTTCTGATGCGCGCAGGATGGCGCTGGGCCAGACAGCTGGTTAGGACTCTAGCTCAGCAGACTTCCTTCCTGTCACCCCTGGGGCAAGGCACCGCCAGACCGAGCCTAGGTAAATGGGGGGTCAGCCAATGCCCCAGGGGCCTGCCTGAGGCTACGGTGAAACCCCTGTGCCTGGCAGTGGCAGAGGCTGAGGAACCCTTGAAACGGTCAGTTGTTAGTGTTGTGTGAAAGGTCGCCCAATACAAAGTTGGTTAATTGAAGCATTTGAAAAGCAACTGCACACAGACCTGACTGACCTTCCTAAGTTCATCAGTCTTGCTGGCGCCTAGTGAGAGGGAGTGAAGAGAATCCACAGCTCACCTCCGTTTTCATTACAGATGTCTTTGTTAGCAAAGTAAGAAGGACCCAGGGAACAGTAAGGACCGTTCCTCACTGAGACAGAGGCCTTATCTTTTAAGAAGAGCCAGTCGCTCAGTCCACATCTGAGAGATGTGTCCAACTTTACCCTTTTTGTGGCAAGTCAGGTCTGACATATAAATTTGAAGTCATGGGCCCTCCCTGGTGGTGCAACGGGTTAAAGCTGGCACTATGAAGCTGTCTGCAGCCGCTGCAGCTCGAGTTCAATCCCTGGGCAGGGAGCTGACCCACATGGCGCAGCCGACCTCTCCTGTCTTCCCGCTGTTCCTCTCAGCACTGTGTTTCAGTCCATCGGCCTGTTCTGCTCCCCACTCTGTCTCAGGTGAACCCTCTCACTCCCCGCAGCTCTGGCCTGTACCCCAGTTCCGTAAGTGTAAATAAATAAATCTTTAAAAATAAAATTGAAGTCATGGAATAATGTAAAAACTGTAAGTTATTTGTTGTCTAGGTGATAAGTAACCCAGTAGGATCCAGACACCAACAGAAGTGGATTCAGAGGCCAGTTGTATTAGGAGATTCTGACTTAAAGTTGCAGTTGTAATACTTTATCATTGTTGATATAAAGGACCTAACACCTGGGTTGGGGAAAAATTGAGTATTACTGCAGAAAATGAATTTTAAACAGTAAGTGGACAAGCAACGTTTTACACTAAAATTTTAGCACATTGCAGAATTCTAAGATTCCAGGTGGGCCATTGGCAAGATCTGGGCAGTGCTCACTACTGCATGTTCTTTCCTGTTGCTTAGCCACATACGGTGTGCCTGGCACTATTCTGGGAACTGGCCATGTCATTTTAAAAACTTCCTTATCTTTACAAGAGCCCTGCAAAGCTGGCCTTATCTCCATTTTACAGATGAGAAAAGCGAGGCGAGGGTAGCTCAGCAGGTTGCTCAAGCACAGCTGCTCAGCTCACTGGTGCTAGCTGGGACTTGTGCCCTGCTCTCTGGGACCGCAGGACCTATGCCATCTGCGGCACCAGAGTTGCTGCGCTTTCCGATTTCTCTGCCATCCGAATGCAGTCAGGAGTCTCAGTTACCTTACACTCCTTCTCGATGAACAGTAAGACATTCATTTCTCTAGAACCTTCATGTCATTAGGTGCGAAGAGTGTTTTGGAGTGTCCTTGAGAGGTAGATGCATTAACTCTTGAGTCCCGAGCAGAAAGGAGCCAGTCTTAGCAGCATCGTCCTTCCATAAGGATTTGTTCAACCACAAAGATAATGTTCTAGGCTGTAGGTTTGGCAATAGTTTGGCAGCCCCAACAGCTATCAGTGCCATAGTATGGGAGGAGATAGAGTGTAGTAGTCAGTATCAGGTAGGAAGACAGTGATAGTAATCCTATTATCCTCCCCACCCATTGTTTTTAAAGATTTATTTCCTTATGCATACAGAACAGGGGTACAGGCCAGAGGTGCAGGAGTGGTAAAAGGATTTACCAGAGACAGAGTGGGGAGTAGAACAGGCCAACTGACAAAGTACACTGCTGAGGGAAGCAGCGGGTGGTCAGGAGAGGTCTGCTGTGCCATGTGGGTCACCTCCAGGGCGGGGGATCGAACTCATGCTGAAGTGGCTTTAGCTTCTTAGTGCTGTGCTTTAACCTGCTGCGCCACCATGGAGGCCCCTCCCCACCCCATTTTTAAGGTGCACAGGAAGAACTTGTATTACCAGCAGTCAAACCAAGGAATGCCCAAGTTCTGAGCTCATGCCACTTGGAATCTGAGATAATCTCATTTGCTTAAGGGATTGCAGACATTTCTGCTTGATTGAGAACCTGGTTAAATCTTATCATGCTGTGCACAATTGTCCTCATGTACAGCGAGGTGCTATGGTTGGTTGGAGGCTGCATTTGAGCTGAACCTCTGTGTGTCAGTTTTCCCCCACTTTGAGTGAACGGGATTATTCAGCCGTTGCTCCCCTGTTGGCTATGAATGTTTGCATCTGGACAGCTGGGAGCCACAGTCGCCTGGAGATGCCATCTCTTATATTTTACAGGCATGCTGGGTCATAAAAACAAAGACAGCAAGCCTAGTCCCTGCGCTCTGGCCACTGACCAGAGAAATGAGGGCCGCAGGGATCTGCGTGTGACCGACACTGTGCTCCCGGGCCTCTACCGCATAACCCTTACCGGGTCCCCAAAGCAGGAGATCAGCACTCGACACTGGGGAGACTTTTTAGAAAGTAGCCAAGCTGGAATCAGAGTCAGATCTGGACCCGGCTAAGCTCCCCCCAGGGTCCCTTTGACTCTTTAAGTAGGAAAGGGGTGGGGGGGGGGGAAGGAGACTGAGTTCCAGCTGTTTCTAACCACTGGTTTGAGGAGGGGCAGGGAGGTCCCGAGTGCACAGGGTTGAACACAGTGGGAGCCACCGTGGCCCTCAGTGTCATCCTCAGTCCCTACTCTGGTTTCATTTTCATTTCATTGTCTGTTGTATATATATTTTTTACTTTTTTTTTTTTAAAGATTTATCTATTTATGCATACAAGAACTGGGGTGCGGGCCAGAGGTGCAAAGGGTGAGAGGATTCACCAGAGACAGATTGGGGAGCAGAACAGGCAGATCTACTGAAATACACTACTGAGGGGAGCAGCAGGCGAGACAGAAAAGTTGCTGTGCCCTGTGGGTCAGCTCCCCAGCTGGGGATCGAACTCATGCTACAGTGGCTGCCCATAGCTTCTTAGTGCTGCACTTCAACCCCTTGCACCACCAGGGAGGGCCACACTGTCCATTGTTTTAAGGATGAGTGTGCTTCATGTTACCCTGAGTGTAGCCATGGGCTCCTTAGTTCAGCTTGTCCCAGGGGCCCTCTGCTAACTTGGGGGGCGGGGAGCAGAACCAGTGCACCTGGCCAGCACATTCGGGAGAGACAGTTAACTGTGACATACATCCTGTTCTCCCACACTGGCCAGCAGTCCTCCGCGGTACCTGGAGGGGCACGCTCTCACTCTCCAGGGTTCCCCCAGAAGTGTGGAGGCCTGGGCGGCTGCATCTCCGTCACCGCCAGCTCTGCCCCCAGTGTGCCCACGCTCACGCATACACGGGTGACCCAGTGTGTATGGTCACCTTCCATTCTCGCCCCTGTCAACAGCCGCCTGGTCGCTACCTGCAGCTCTGGAGAACGGGTCCAGGAAGGGCCTTGCGCAAGCCCTGGAGATGGTGTGGGCTTTGGGTTGTGGAGTTCTGGGGTAATGGCAGCCGGTCTGGTCTAGAGTGTGACACATGGGCTCTGGGCGGGGATCCCTGAGTCCTTGGGTATCCAGATGCACACCCGGAGAGTGGAGCAGCAG